AAAAACAACCTGTAGAATTACTTCTCTTTACATCTGTATGCATTTCCATGTTATCTTAAAAAGGGGAGAATTCTTTCTCTTTCTCAATGGATAACTACAGTACAGAAAAGAGATCAAAGAGAAATAAGAATTTCTTAAAGTTCTGGTAGTAAACAGGCATATGATATTATTATTGTTTTAGTCTTAATAATAAGCAATTATACGTTCAAAGTGCTTTACAATCACTTAGCTATTCCTCACAACAGCCCTGTGAGGTAGGTCGACATTATTACCCCCATTTTACAGATGGGGAAACTGAGGCACAGAGAGGTTAAGTGTCTTGCCCAAGGTGACACAGAAAGTGAAACTGCAGGAGCAGAGACTAGGACCCAGTTTCCCTGACTCCCAGTATCCTTGAAACTAGACCACACTGATTCCAAAGAGGCATCCCCAGACTGGCTTTGAGCACAAATCAAAGACGGACAATGTTGGATGAGGTTGGGTGTGGTGGCATTTCCTGTGGACACGTTAAGATGGAACCTGAGGTGCTGCCTGGCTGGGTCTGGCATGCGGGGTGGGGGGTGGGAGTGTTAGTTTCAATGGGTGTGTCTGAGCTTGCTGTCCTGCCCATTTCCCACTGCATTCTCCACCAGGTCACGACAGAGGGCAGGAGGCGGGGAGCAGGAGGTCATGGCGGACTGGCACAGAAACAGAACTCTTGTCAGCTCAGCGCCAAGGGGCCTGTCGGTCTCTGGGAGTTCAGGCGAACTGGGGATGCAGGACTTTGGAACAGTCAGCTGCCCACCTTAGGCAGGTCTGCTCAATCTTTTGATTAGGATTTTAGTTATTATTATTATTATTAATTATTTTTACTGGCCAGCATCAGGAAGTTGTGTTCATTTCATTTCTTTGTGGGGACGGCTGCCCCCTTCCTGGGCTCTCTCTCCCTCTTTCCCTTTCTCTGAGTCTCTGCTTGGAAGGGAAAACGGGAAAGCCTGGCACGTCCCCGCTCATGAAAAAGTGCCACGGCGAGCAGCGTCCGCGACAGGCAGCCACGGCTCCGCAGATGAACCACAGCCCCGTGTCCACCTTCTGGAGGAGGGCTTGGCTTGGAAGGGGTCGCCCTGGGGCCTTGGGTTTGCTTTCTCCTGCATTTCTCCCGAAATGCTGTTTCAGTAGAAATAAGCCCACTGCAGCCTTTTTTCCCTTTCAAGGCCTGAGCCATACACGCCTCCGACTAACGAGCTCGGTGCTGCAGCTCAGGCAGAAAATTCTAAAGCATCCGTTCAAGCATCTGAAACAAATGAATCAGCCAGTGAAATCTCATCTGTTAGCATCTGTTCTCCTCTTCTACTAAAAAAAGGAAAAACAAGCCGTTTGATGGCTTTAGATGGAATCATGCTTAAAAGAAGAAGTTCTACTTTTAGATTCAGATGTCTAGATCGCAGATGTCTGAGGGTCCACAGATTAAACAGCTGTGGGGGCCCCCACCCCTCCGTTTTCCTTTCTACGCACTGCGCCAAGGCATATGAGGGACAAGGAGTCACTGGTGTCTGTCCACCACCCACTTTTCCACTTACTCACCTACCCCACCATCTGTCAGCTAAGCCATCCCAAGCCAGCAGCCTAATCGTTTTACAGCTGGGAACAAAGGTCTCCTTAAATCAAACTTCCAAATGGGGTTTCAAAAAAAAAATAATAATAATAATGGCTTCCCTCTCTAATTTCTTCCTGTTGTCCAGGGGGGCAGGCTCCCATCTGGGATGGGAGAGGGACAGGGAATCGCCTCGGAGTGCACTAGTCTTGGCAAAATAGGAATGTGCAAAGAGAAATGAACAAAACTTTCCCCACTTTGTGGGATCTATTCTTGTTCTGATCCATGAGCTACAGGACCGATTCGGGTCTGCCTGGTGTGGAGCCGTCCTCCTCGGGAAGGTCTGAGGAGCGTTTGGGCACGCATGGCTCTCTACTGGGAAGGGGGCTGAGCGTTCCCTCTGCAGAGCCCTGCTCCTTTATCTGCCTGCTCTGTGCGGAAACTTGCAGGTCACTGGGGGGCAGCAACGTTGGGTGAAGAGCAAAAGCTGAGTCAAACTAAAGTGAGTATGGTATGTAGGGGATGAGTGAGGCAAATCAAAAGCCGGAGGCAGCTTCTCTCTGGCTCCCTCTGGAGAGGGGCTGGAGAGAAGGCTGGCTTGGATGAGGAGGAGGATGGACAGATGGAAACTGCACACTCACTCAGACCACAAAGGCCAGAGGACACTGGGTGCCAAGCTCCTCTCACACACGGATCCAGGAGCTCCTTCGGCCATCCCCCTTCGTGCAGAAGGGGCCGCTGCAGTTGGTCTGAACGGAGGGAAACCGGGGAGAGCCCGCAGGGCTGGAAGCATCGTATGTTCTCTGTGCTCTGGAAAAACCTTGCGTGGCGGGGTTGGGGAGGAGGGGGTTGCAGAGAATCTGGAGCAGTTTGGATGCTGTTCAGACAGACTGCATTCTAACGCAGCACAAGCACGCACAGCCTCTGTCTTCTGCGCTCACACCGCGAGGCCCACACTCCACCTTCCATTAGCGATTCTGTCTGCAGCCGTGGGGTCCCCAAACCCACCAGCAGGGGCAGAAGCCACTCCTTTCACTTCCCAGGGGTTCCTCGGGGACCCTATACCTGTCCTAGTGACTCTTGAGGTGCTTCCTCCGCTGCCATTTGGCCTGTTTTCCTAGCCGCTACGTGAGCAGGACAGGCAGAAAGGAAAAATTTTCTCATGCTAATTAAATGTCGAGTCACAAATCACATTTAAAGCTAGTCCGATAGCTGAGAAAGCCAAAAATGTAATTGGAATTATCCTTCAAGGAGACAAAGATTTTTCTATTTTTAAGGTCTGCTTCAGAGTCAAATGCATTTTCAGAATTTATCTGCCAATATTATGAGTACAACTTAATTTTCTGGGCTGTATATGCAACATAAATTATAGACATTGCCTCAACTCCCAATGGAAGCATGTGAAAATGTGTTGACTTCATCTAACTCAAAATATTTAAATTTCATCCAAGAAATGAAGCTCTATAAACAAAGTGAAAAATGTTTAGGAGGAAAAACGAACCCTCAACATAGTTTTAACACAATGTAATAGACTCTTTTAACCAATGACTTGCAATGTATAGCCTTAGTACCACTTCAACTTGGAATAGCACTTGTAAAGCAAGGTCGGTCATTATTTACTTGGGTGTTGTTTTCAGGTTTTAATACACCAGAACATTATATCCAGAAACCAGAGCGAGCACTCAGTCATCCAATTGGGAAGTTTTAGGGATTTGGTAATGGTTATAACTCTATATCCAGGAAATCATATATGTCTTCCAACAACAAAAAAAAAGGTCTTGTTACAGAGCTAATATGGTTACTGTAAATCATGATATAAACCATCCATGACAGAGTATGTTTCCCCCTCCCGAAAAGGCATCACGTTCCAACCCCATAAGCTAGAATCCTTGAACACTGCACTTAAGAACCCAGGGACAAAGACCTGGATGAATGTGCAAAAACACCTTTCCAGCTTGCTTTGTCTCTCAGACTGCTACACAGGAGGAAAGCTGTCACTTAGGCCAACTGCATCAGTCAGAGAGGGAGAACTCACAAAGGCCACCATCTGAGCCAGCAACGAGCTACCTGACAGAGCCTGTGATCCCGAGCTAAGCCTTCAGGAGTTGTGATCAGAGAAAGAAAAGGTCAGGGATAGTTGGGCTGGCACCCCTCCCTGCCCCCAGCCCTGCAGCCGTCTGGAGGGAGTGCCATCTCATCATAAACCTCCCGGGAGTGATCCAACAACCTGCCAGCTACACATGCTCCCTGCATTCCTTCACTCTTCCATTCATGGCCACTTGCATCCACGCTCTCTTGCAGCAAGATCACAGACAAGCCCACACTGTAGTCGTAGTTAATATTGCTTTGGACGCAAAAAAAAGTTGGGGATTTTCTCCATGAAAAAAAAAAATAATAAGGGGGAAGGACCAGTCTACACTGAACTTTCTCAAGGCCTGCAGGACTGATTTGAGGCACGTGGCGGAAACAGGACCATCAGAGTCATGTTAGAGTTAAGTAAATTAAAAGGGAAATATCTGGATCTTATTCAGGATGGACTTGACACACACTCGGACTTTCCACTGCTCTGGATGGTGGCTGGTGGGTGGCCGCCTGCCCAGTGGCTCCCTTCCCCCATCCTTAGCACCTTCCTCCTCAGTCCCTCCTTACCATTCTCCTTCGCCACCAGCACCCACAAATTCCCTCCTAGCGGCTGCCTTTCCCTGCCTGCTTCCTGGTGTGGGAACTTTGAGCTCAACAACAAGTCTAGAGTCCCTGAACAGCGAAGCCCTCTGGCTACCCCAGGGGGACAGGCGACCTGGGAGGGACGAGCACGGCGCTTGCACAGCTACGATCACAGCCCCATTGGAGACAACACACAGCCACGCACACAGAGACAGACGCGCACGCACAGCACACACCAGGAGGTGATGGATGTTACTGAAATGGACCAAACCGACAAGCAGTGGGGTAAGAAACAAACAGAAACAAAACAAAGCACTTGCGTTCAGATGGAAAGCTGTTTGGGGTTGAGAGGGCAACTGGGGCCCTGGGCCCAGGGATGGAGGGATGGGAGGAGATCACTGACTTTGGGGGTCACTGTGGGAGGGGGGGCTCCGGGTACTGAGGCAACACTGGCTTGCACCCCATCTACCAGTGGAGAGCAACTGGTGTCTCCACTACTGTCTGGAGGTTCTGCCCTATCCCTCCCTGCCCCTCTCCCCCATGCAGCTGAGGTATTATCCTGGGGTCAAGCAAGGAGAGGGAGGCACTTACCTGGAGGCCCAGAATGGCTAGTCCACTTTTGGGGGTGTGTGTGCAGTAGCTCAGTTTAAACAAAATCCTGGCAGTACTGCTCAACCATGAGTAATAGTCCGCTCTCTAGTATTTCAAATAAGCTGATGAAATTGTTAGTGGAAAGGGGAAACAGAACAAAATGACAATTCACCTGTAGGGCAATCGTGGTGTTCTTCGCGGGGTACTTTCCCACCAGTCCTTGTTCTTTCCGTTTCTTGAATTTCCTAAAGTAGTCCTGTATCAGGAAAGTGGCATAGAACTTCCCCACGGTTACCTCATCATCTAAACGGAGAGACCAGACAGAGCTCTCCCGAATCAGCACATTTGGACCAGGAGCCTCTACACTTGCTTCTGGCTGGGGGAGGGGTGGGGCGGGGTGGCGCAGCGCGGAGGGGCAGGGCTCTTAGCGCCCACCCCAGGGGGAGAGCTAGCAAAAAGCAAGGTTTGGCAAAGCAGTTGAAGGCTCGAAATCAAGGGTCAGTTCAGTGCAATGAACTGGTACTCGGAATTGCAGAAAATAAGGAATTTGTCATGAGTTCAAAAGAGCAGCGTATTAGTAACACTAGGAAGTGCTGTCTTGGTTATTGACTTAAAATAAAAATTACAAAACAACCACACAAAAAAAGGCTTCCTGGGTCATATTTTCACCCCATGCATGGGGATGTGCACGTGTAATTGCCGTGAACACCTTGGGCAATTAACCATCCACATCCCGATGCTTGGGGATAAAGATAGAGACCGCAGAAGGGTGAGAGCTCGGAAGAAAAGGAAGGTTCAGAAAAGTGACTGCAAGTCCAGATTTTCCTGTGACCCCCTTTTTCTCTGCAGTCGTCTCCAGAGACCTTCTCTTGGTTTGCTCCTGCAGAGCAAACCACGTACTGCAAAGCATCGGCTCCAAGGAGCCTCGAGCTAAGCTGGTGTTTCTGCTGTTTTAGAAAACAGCAGCCACGTGTGGGCAGTGGGGGATTCTGTGGAGTATTTTCAAGGGGATGCATGAGGCAGAATAGTGGCTTGGCCGTCTCCTGGTAAACCACCTGGGTATGGAAGGTATGCGCTAGGGTCCCCACAAGTCTCTTTATCCCCAGGGTGCTCGTCATCAGATTTCTGTGTGTTAAGGCCTCGTAAGTGGCAAGTGTCAGAACATGGTAGCAGCCCAGGTATGTGGGTTGCATTGGGGGCCAGGCATGAATCCTGGCTCCCAGAGGCTGGAGGGAAGACTCGACGTGAGACCTCAAGCTTTTGGCCAGGCCATTCTGGCAAGTCAGATGGCATCTGGTGCTAGGGATCCAAGCTCTCTGAGTTGTGGTCTCTACTGGAATAACTTTCTGAGGTGCTGCAAGGATTTCATGAGCTATGCAAAAGTGGGCCCCAAAAGTGGATCTGTGTGGGGGAGGGCTGGAGGATGGTTAGCCAGCAATCACCTCCATTTAACACCCTGCGGATACAGACACTTGGCATTGCAGTGAGTTCTGGGCAGGAGAGTTCGGGGGGACAGGATGGCCATGTGGACACTAGTGGCTGCTGCTGTCTGGAACGCGCTGGGCTACTGGCTGTGCCCTGCCGAACTGCTGGTCAGAGGCAGCCTAGAGCAGATGGCTCAGGATGGGCTGGCCTCAGGAATGCCTTCCCAATATGGTCTGGGGGTCCTGAAGGAGTGTCAGGGTTCTCAACAAGAAATGGAGACTGGTAGCATGTGTGTGTGTGCGGGGGGTGGGGGGGGGGCAACTCTGGGGCCTCCAGCCAGTCTGGACATTCTAGCCGTGCACCGCCCATGAGCAGAGGCTCACTGCAGAGAACTGTGAGGGTCTTGACAATGCACACCCTAATTTACTTTCGGACCATTCCCCATTTTCCTGGTACTTGGGACACAGTGTCCTTGCTACAATGGGATGCCCACAGACACCAGGCCAGGGCCAGAGAAGTCCCATGGGGGTTTCAGAGCCTCTTTATAACAGCACTAAGGCGGTGACTCTGCCCTCTGCTCACTTTACCCAGCAGGGAAGAATCAAAGGACCTTCTTCCAGGGCTGTGGGGCTGGGGACAGGAAGCCCAGGCCTGCCCACTACCTCCTCATACCACCTCGCTCGGCTGGAGCCATGGGGGAGGAGGGGGTGGTCCCGGCTCAGACCACACAGGTCATCCACTGTCTTCAGAGTTGCTCTCAGAGAAAAGTCTATCCCTGCGTGTGCTGCTGAGGGAGGGTCTTAGGGTGGGCTTCCCACCTATAGCGCCACAGATAGCCTTTACAGACACTCCCTCTCCCTCTGCCCCCAACTCTGCTCCCTGGGAAACACTGGCTTGTCTCCTTCCATACGGATGCTTACAGCATGCATGCTGGGTATACCTAATCCTTATTGCTCCTTTGTCTGGGCAATGCTGGGCTGGAGCGGCCAAGGCAGAGGCAGGTGGGGGCTCCTATAGGGGCTTTGGAAGTAAGGGGGGCATGTCCCCAGGGCAAAGATCTGAGCAGAGACGGGTCCAGCCGGGCTCTGCAGGAAATACTCAGGATTGCGAACCCTCTCCTGGGGAGACATTGTGCTAACACCGAGCCCTAGATGTGTTCTTCAGAGCAGGGTCATTATGTAGGGCAGGGTTTTCTGAAAAGTTCCTGGAGAGAGGAAGCCATGTCGTGAGAACATCTGGGCTCAGGACTGAAGGGATTGAGATGGGGTCTGCTCTGGGCTCTTCAGGACAAAGAAGCCAAAGATTCAGGTCAAGGTGCAAAGGGCAAATTAAAAGAGGTAAAGAGTCTTCTGACTGGAGGTGAGAATGTTTGCGGGACAGAGAGGGGAAATGAGATAGCTCTCTGTGGTGGAGAGGCCATTCCATTGGCCCCTCTGAGACACAGCAGAGATGGCAAGCTCAGCAGAATTCCTTGGACCCGTGCCTCAGTTTCACCTAACTGCCAAGCTCAGAGTGCTGCAGAGGAGGAGCTGTGTCTCATACTACAAAGCCTCTCAAGACGAAACTTGCTCTGCTGGGTCACTGGGGCTAAAGGGGCACCCTGGGCCCCAGGAGTGACAAGCTGGGCTCTGGGCTGGTGGCAGCATGCAGGAAGCTGTCCTACTGCAGCCGGCCCCCAGGGTTGGATTCTCGTTTTTCTACTAGATTCTCATTTTCCTAAGTGTGCCCCGAAATGGGAGTATCTGGAGCTCCTGATCTCCTGGAAAATAAACAAGGGCCCACCCAGGAGACATCCGAAAAACTAAATCCCTGCACACAAGCTCTCTTGGTCTGGTTCCTGGAGGCCTGTAGGTGGCAATGGAATGTAGGTGGCAATGGCTCTAGGTGGAGACTCAATCTGGATGAAGCATGACCTGGCCCAATGACAGGGGCATGGAATTTCCGGGGCATTCCCTCTCCTCAGTGCTCTGACTGCCATATGGAATCCTGACACTTGTTACTCTAAACCCCAAACTGTTTTAAAAATACAAAAATACAAAAAGGCAAGTCCAGTGAGTGGAACAAGAAAGTGAGAGTCTCTGGTCTCTGTTAGCCATCTAGCAGAGCTAAGAATAGATCCATGTTTTCAAAGGAAAGGGACTATGATGAGGGGTTGAGTTCTGGGCGTGTGTGTGTGTGTGTGTGTGTGTGTGTGTGTGTGTGTGTGTGTGTTGCTGGTACAATGAGGACAATGAGGAGGATTGGGGTTTCTGGGCCACTGGGAGGTGGTGTTCCCAGGGCATCTCCAGAGCACTAGGCGCTGAGGGGTGAAGCCAGCTTCACAGAAAAGGGGCACTCTGGGGAGAGAGGCTGGGCGGATGGATGAGGGCCAGGCCTGGGGAAGGTTTCCGGAGACAGACACAGCCAACTACTCTGAAGCATGCATCTCTGTGTTTTGAGAAACATTGTTGGGGAATTCAGCTGGCAAGAGATAACTCCGATTCCATGCCACCACCCTAAAACAGAATTGCTTCAGAATATTCTGAGACTAAGAGTTGAGAGGAATGGAGGCTGCAGAAAAAGCTCAAGCACATTGTTATAACCATTTAAGAAAGCCGTTTCTCTAAGCCATGCGAGCACTGAGCAGCTGAAAATAAAGGCACTAAAACCAAAGAGTGGTTTTAAAGGTGCAGGACAGAGTAGCCCTTCTCTGCAGAGCCAGGACCCACCAGGCGCGAGTGTGGTCTGGGGGTGGACCCTCTGGTTTTGTTGGTGGCTTTTGCTTTCCCTTCTCGGTTCTTGGTGGGCCATGCCCCCCTGCGCCAAGTTGGGAGGTCATGCCTTTGAGAGGCGACTCCCTCTGGTACCACAAGCCCATTCTGTTTCCTGCATTACACCTGTGGGCTGCTCTCTCTGGCCTCGGTGAGCCAGAGGAAGGGGCCATGGCCACTGTCCAGGCTGGGGCATCTGAGCTGGCTTCGGGACTGGAGTCAGACCAGTACGGAGAGATGCAGGGACAATGGCACTGGAGGTTCTGTTGGTAAAACATTATCTAGGACCACTCTGTAGGCCCAGGAGGGCCAGGATGCTAGCGGGGGGCTGAATAAACCCATCCTGCACCTTTAAAACTCGAAAACAAAACAGTCAAAACACAACCACCTCAGCTTCTAAGTTCATGTGTAGTTAAACAAAATGAAAAAACAGTATATTATTACTTTATATATATATATATATCTGCTATATATATATAGACACACAAATATATAACTCTGAGTTTAGTAGTTATTTTACGATGAATAACAAAAGGTAAGAAGCGTGTCTGTTAGTTCTTTCTCTGCTCTCAGTTCTCATTAAAGGGGTATTTGGGGGTCATTTATAATAATAAATTCAGTCTTGATAAGAACATTTAAAACCACCATTTTCAGAAAGCTAGATGTTTCCCGTGAGAAGTTTGGCATATGGCAGGGCCAAAGGAAACGTCTAAGAAATATTTCCTTTTGGACAGATAACTCAGGCCTTGTTTCTTATGGCCAACTCTTCTCAAACATCTTGCCCTCACCCACCACACAAGCCCTCCGGGTGTTGGAACTAGTGGACACAGGAGGGGTTCTATGTACCCCTCCCCCCCAGGGCTTGCTGGACTCTTGCTATCAATTCAAACCCCTGTGCAGGCTAAGAATGACTGAGGAAAAAGATTACACTGACCACCAGCTGGAGGGACCACTTGGTCAAGTAGTTTCATGCTGGTTTTCTTCCAGATTTTCTTGATCACAGCACGCAGTTCTTCATTTGCCTGTTCCAAGTTCCCTGAATTCAAAAACAAGATGGGAATCCAGGCCTTGCTGCTTTCACCAGCAATCCCCCTGCCTCCACACTGGTTTTCCCCACCGTGGCTGCTGCTACAGCCCAGGACTGGACCTCCCCTGACCCCCTCGAGCTTAGGACTGACACCTGTGGCAGAAACAGCATGGCCTCCCAAGCCAAGACCTCCTAGCCCCTGCTCTCAGCGTCCCAGACTTTTTCCCAGGCTTTTCCGTACTCTTTCCATCCTTGAAGCTCCAGCCCCAATTTCAGCCAAACACCATTTCTCACCTTTGCTACAGCCTGTTTCTGCCTGTGTCACAAAGCCCCAGTATCTGTCTTTTTAAGCTGACATTTTGGTGTCTGAGTGTGGCCTGAATGACATTGCCTGAGGGAGTGTGGGGGTTCAGAGAAGTTCCCACTGCTGGAAGAATGTGCAGTCTTGAGGAACCTGCCTTTCCTGGTCCTAAGCTCGAGGGGGTCAGGGGAGCCAGCTCTCAGCCATGGCCCCTTGCTGGCCCCTCTCCTTCCCTGTCCTCAACAAAGTGCCTCCAAGAGTCGCCCCCACTGGCTGGCCCCAATCTGCGTCCATCTCTCTTCTAATGGTGTCATGAGCTAGCCCCATGGCCACGCATGCCCCAGAGCCTGCTGTCCGGGAAGGCAGCTCTCTCTCTCAGCAGGGAAGACGTGGGTGCAGAGGCAGTTCAGATTTCACAGATGAGGACCATCTTGCTGTGAGTGGACATCGAGGTGCCCACTTCAAAGAAGCCTAACTTGGAGTTGGCTGAGGCAGTGCCATATAGGTGCCAGCTCCTGGGTATGACCCCTGGCACCACGAATCAGCCCACAGAAGAGGTGGAGCTCAAACCCAGGCCAATCACACAGACTGCCTGAGTGCCCAGCTGAGCATAAAAGGAGGAATGAGGGAGACAGGGGCGGCCAGCCCGGTCACCACATAGCTGATGGAACCTCTAGCCCCCCTTTCAGGGTCTCCCCTCTGTAAGAAAAGGCCGTGGCATGAAGAGGTCAAAAAAAAAAAAGATGCGCCATCTCCTCCCCCTGCCCCTTCCCCCAGCCCACTACTCCCGGGTCGCTCACCTTCCGTCTTGATTTTAAGAGCCGTTCGTACCAGAGCAAACAGGGTGGCGTTGAACATGACCGTCCCATCACTGTTGAGGGGCATATTCATGGCAACGAGTCTCTGTGAACACAAAGTGGAGTTTCTCAGTGGAGCGTGAAGGCCTGATGTGCACTCTCTCCAGTGCTCGTTCTCGCTGAATTCAGCAGCCATTAGGGGCGCACCTGCTACCTGGGGTGGCTCCCAAATGCTGCAGATCAAAGCGTTACTCGTGGAGTCATGATCCAGCTTGCTGGTTTGTTTGTGAGTGCAGGCACCGCACTGTTCCAGCACCCCTGGCCCTGCTTCGGGAGCAGCTGTCCCGGGGTGAGTGCATGACGGGAACTCTCACTGGGTTGCTATGCTATGGGGGTTTGATGATGCTGATACAAAGAGGCAGGCCCAGGAGCCTTAGACTTTGCCCTGGACCACTGGGACCCATTCCTCTCTCTCCCACAGGGAGCATCCTTGGAGGATCCTGCCCAGTGTGACCAGCAGGTGATAGTTTGTACCGGCCAATATGGTTTCTAGAAGTGGTGGGTCTTTTAGAGTTGGGACCTATTTCCTGCACCTCAGGTGTCCTTCCTGACCCCTCCAACGCCAGCACTGGGGGGACTTGGGGACTTCCTCTCAGGGCCCCAGTGACCTCATCTGGAAATGATACACTGCCATCAAAGGTGCATGCCAGGTGTAAAATAGAGCATGGGCAATGCATCAGCCCAGAGCCTAAGCCTGATTGGTGCTACATGATTGGTAATTGGAAAAATTATTGTTTCAAATTTCTTTTTTTTTTCAGAGGTGGGACATACCCCCACTACCCCCCCCATACAACTTCTCTCTGCTTCCTCTATATCACTTTTTATGAGAAGCAGATGAAATTCTTCAATGCTTAAAAAGATGATCTATCCTAATCTAATACTGTGATGCTCATTTCCTTACCCAGAATCATGGAGTTTTATTCTTTAATTATGTTGACAAGTAAGAAAATAAACCAGATAAGATTTGTCATTTTGGCACTGGTAAAGGGAAGCTGACATGGGTGATGGGACTGGTGATGAAACATTGTATGTCAAAAGCCCAACTATGAATAGCTTTGTAATTCAGGTGCTTTAATAAAATAAAAACTTGAAAAAAACAACCAAAAAAAAAACCAAAAGCAAATTTATTTTTTTCTTGGTTTCTCAGCTATATCCTCTGGTGCTCAGGGATTACTCTTGGCTCAGTGCTCAGGGAAGACTCCAGGCAGAGCTTTGAGAAATATATCCATTGTATCTGAGTCAGCTGTGTAAAAAGCCAATCCCTTAACCCCTATACTCTCTCTTTAGTCCAAGTCTCAATTTTCTTCCCTTTCTTACCTGACCGGGTGTCCCCAGAGAAAGATGAAAACAAATGTTTTCTTCACCATGCAAATGAACTAGAATCTTGCGTTCTGCATGATTCCACCTGCCCCTAAATTCCACTGCTAATTGCTGACCATCTCTGTCTACAAAACCCTTGGACATTCATTTGCTTTCATGCTGAGTGCCTTCCTCATACATGCAGGCCTTTGGTGAGGCCTTGGAACACAGACACAGGAGGACAGTAGAGTGTGCGCACAAGAAGCCTCCTGGCTGTTGGGAAGGAGAGAGGAAACAAGAGAAGTGCCTTATTCTGTGAACCCACACTCAGAGTCCAGGCGGAGGAGAAGCAATGACATAAACTAGGTCTCCAGGGACTTGCCCATTGAGTGTTCTGGACTTGGGGTGGGGAGGGCGGCAAGTAGTGAGTTTGGCTCCAAGGATTATTTTGAAAGCCCTGAACACATATTAGACACTGCTCAGTTACCTCAGGTTCTGGGTTGAGCTGGCCTAGCACCCGCACAGGTCAAATCCTGAGCCCATGGGGAGCTGGCACCAGTCACTGGTGCTGGCCAGCTGGATTTCGTGAGGGTAGTTTCAACAGGCAGCCCTTGCACCTGTTCCCTGATGAGAATAGATCTCTACTAGGGATTCAGGAGAGCCAGCTCTCGTGTGTGTGTGTGTGTGTGTGTGTGTGTGTGTGTGTGTGTGTGTGTGTGTGTGTGTTGGGGAAGCAGGAGTCCAGAGAGGCTTTTGGAGGCCATGCCCAGGCCTGGGTGATGAGTTCCACCATCACACAAGGAGAAGCAGCACCGCGCCCAGCACCACCCTCTCTTCTCCAGCCTTACTCCTACTTCTCCACTCTAACCTTTGCTTCTGCAACTGAGATGACCAGTGTCCTCCTGAGGAAATGCCCTGCCTGCAGTCTTCTTCCGCAGGGGGCAGTCACTTTTCTAAACTGGAGGCTGCCTACCTTACGTGCTGGGGGAGAGGGCAGTTGGGATGGAGAAGGAACGACTAAGTCAATGATGGCTGGAGGGATTGCTCAGGGTGGGAGATGTGTGCTGAAAGTAGACTAAGGACCAAACATGATGGCCTCATAGTATCTGTGTTGCAAATCATGATGCCCGTAAGTAGAGAGAGAGAGAGAGAGAGAGAGAGAGAGAGAGAGAGAGAGAGAGAGTAAGAAGGAAGGTTCCTGCCACAGAGGCAGGAGATGGGATGGGGTGGCAGTGACAGGAGGAATACTGGGGATACTGGTGGTGGAAAATGTGCACTGTTGGAGAGATGGGTGTTCGATCACTGTATGACTGAAACTCAATCATGTAAGTTTTGTAACTGTATCTCAAAGTCAGTCAATAAAAATAAAATAAAATAAACTGGAGGCCACTGAGGCTGGAGCAAAAGGATTTATTCGCCATGCATGTGACCAACCAGGGTCCAATCCTCGCCACCTCGTATGGTCTCCTGAGCCTGCCAAGGTGATCCTTGAGCACTGAGCCAGGAGTAAGCTATAAACAGCACCATGTATGCCTCCCTCCTTAAATAACCAAAACAAACAAAAAGACTGGAGGCCTTGTCATGTCCACTCATCAGTCTTGCCTACCCTCCCTGGGATTCAACCCCTCAGGCTATGCTCAGCATGTGTCTATGGCCTTCTGCCCCTTTCTTCCATGTTTGAGTCACACCAGTGATGCCCAAATGCCAACCCCATGTCCAAGCCCCTTCCTCCGAGTCTGGGCTTTCTGGGTTTCTCTCTGCAGTGCCTTTTCCTGTTTGGACATACTCCTGCTTCCCCCCTCATGGTCCTAAGGCCAAAGGCCCCCTTCTTTCCATCCACCCAGTGACAATTTCCCTAAGCCCCTTCCTCTCTCAGGTGCCCCGATGGTGCCAAGAGTTACTCACTAGTGCATGCTCAAGAAGAGGAATCGCTTCTTCCTCATTCCTGTGTCCCAGGACCTGAGAGTCTGGACCCAGTGCTACTTAAAGACTCAGGGGGCCCTGGCAAGACAGGCCATTGGATAGGCAACTGAGGCACTTACCTTGCAGGCTACTCTATGTGGGCATAGTTTCCCAAAGCCAAGAGGCGGCTGGATGCGGCGGAGCAGAGTGACCACGTCCAGGTGCTTGATCCGTCCCCTAGAGACAGAGCCCAGCATGAGGGCCAGTGCATGCCAGTCCTCCCACCTTTGATAAACACAAGAAGCCAACTTTCTGGCAACAGTCCACATGAATGGGGGGTGGGGGTCCCTCTGCAACCTACTTTGCTTCGGGGTCATATTCCGACCATATTCTTTTGAATTCGTCTAGATGGTGAGGCCCCAGAATAGACCAGTCCCGGGTCAGGTAATCGAAATTGTCCATGATGACAGCCACGAACAGGTTGATGATCTGAAAAGCAAATCGGAAGGAGAGAGCTTAGGCTGCGGCAGGATGCATTGGGTCAGACCCTCAGACATGCTCATCAAAGATATGAACTTGTTTCTCTAAGAAAGGCTGTGAAAAGTCTCCTTCTGGAAACCAAAAAATTGGTGGTTTCTTGCTGTCCACCGGGCTTTGGCACACAGTAGGAAGGCAGGGAAGATGCTACCCAGCCTTTTGAAGTGTGTTGTGGTTTTATAATCCCATTGCCACCAATCAACTCATTCTTTTAAGTTACTGCTATGTGTGTTGGCTTTGAACTTCTCCCAGAGGCACCAGCAACCCCATGAAGCTGGGATAGTGGTTCCCCTGAGTCCCTGAGTGAGCATCAAAGTACTTCTCACTGCCCCTGAGGCAGCCATTATAGATGCTTCCCACTGTCCAGGGATGCCCAGGGCCCTCAACAGCCTGACACACCCCACTATGCTTTATTGGAGAGCTTCTCTGGTGTGGACCCAGCCGTGACACGCAACGGTTCCCCTCTCCTCACTCACCAGAAATGCGCACAGCATGTAGAAACTGATGAAGTAGACAATGGCGAAGTTGCTGCCACATGTATACTCCTCCCCCGGGTTGTAGTCAGACTCGGGGTCACACAGCTTCCCAGGGAGGCAGGCCAGCATGATTTCCTGCCAGGCCTCCCCCGTGGCACATCTTTCCAGATCAAGCAAAGAAAGGGCGTGAGGATGGGAAAGAGAAATTTGGGACTTCAGCCTTGAAGAATTCTTTATTAAATTTTATTTTATTAAAGCCACAACCATGCTGAGACCACTCTCCACACGCATGAAGGTACTGGCAGAGGAACAAAGGCATGCGAGTCCTGGGGCTGAGATCTCCAAGCCTGCTCGGATCGGGGCTGAGTATCCTCCACACAGATCCTCCATCTTCCAGTAGGCAGGGGTCACACCCACCAACTGACCCCATGGAGCCATGTAATCCCATCAATGGCCAAGACCCAGAGACTACAAAACCCAGCTCCCGGAAGCAAGAGCTTCCTGCCCCCCCTCCCCCCACCTCGGCCTGCCCTCTTGACAGGAACCTTTATAGGTTCAGCTGTTGAAGTTTGGGTCTCCTGATTCCAGTGTTGTTGAGTCTGTGGTTTGGATATTTAGCACTATTGTTCCTTAATGTCACTGATGTACCTGAATCCCCTTGACCCCTGACCCCACATTATTTCTCATTTGTCTCCTGAAGATTTTTTTCCTGAACAACTGAAAAACTTTGCCTCCTATGTGAAGCAGAACCTGGATAATTTGGAGAAAAGCCATTTCAAAAACCTAAGCTTCGTACTTCTAAGTCTAATAATTTGTGAAGGCCCTCCACAACTCCCGGTAGTGATAGCAATCATTTCATCTGAGCACATCCATTCTTTTTATTAACATGGACACTCCTCACTTTTGTGTCTAGTTACTTAAAAAAAAAAGTTTATTCCTTTTTGACGGTTCCTATTTTTTAGTCACCTGACATCTGACAATTAGATTCAACCCCCTGTTCAATTTTGTGGAGAGCAGAGAGCTGGACATGATCTAATTTGCAAATGACTTGCTAGCCAATTACTAGAGTTCCGAGAAATGACCGGTAAGCTCTCCAGAAAATTCTCTCACGGTAAGGTACTCTGCTTGCAAAGTGAGTGAACTGAGGTTAGAAATGGTCCTGTGAAATGTGATCCCACACACTCACGGGACACCGGTCACCTGGGCAGTGCAGATGTTCACACTAACTCTGCCTTGATGTCCAGGCCCCCAGGCATAAGCGCTTCCACACATCCTATCACTATCGCAGTGACCTTAGGAGACTCCCCTCATCCCCCAAACCAAGAAGCCAGAGCCTTCCACAACCTGAATGGCCACAGCAGCTTCAATTCAGTGACCAGAAATCTGGGGCCTCTTTTTAGGAATATAAAGCCCCTGGGAGAAACCACACTGCATAAGTAACAGGGGTCCTCTGTGGTGGGGGCACCCAGAGGGGCCCTGCCAGACCCAGTCACCTGAACAACAGCAGCACCGCCTGAGGAAATGTCTGGAAATTGTTGTTTCTGTTGATCTGGTTGTTATCTCTCATGGCAACTTTCCCAAACATCTAGGTGGAGAGATTATTAGGAATACATGTGAAGTCAAGACAAGAACAACCCCCCGCCCCCCACCCAATTCAGTGCATGTGGGAATTTGGAACAAGCTCAGATTCAATCCACCCCTACTTAGGGTGTTCTCACTGCACCTGGCACTTTTTCTTTTGTTTTTGTTTTGGGGCCACACGTGGCAGTGCTTGTGGGTCAGTCCTGCTGTGCTGGGGATTGAACCGGGGCCTGCCACATGCACAGCATGTGCTCAGCCTGCCGAGCTCCCTCTATCTTTTGACTCAAGATGATCTGGCTTGGTGGTGACTGTGCGGAAGCCTGTGTCAGGCCCATGCTCACCTCCCCTAGTTCATCCCCTCTTGTGGGGGAGGCGCACAAGGTGACCAGACCACAGTCCCGCCTGCTGAGAACAGGGATGTTTCAGCTAGAGAGCAGGGATGCAGAGCAGGTCCATGGGCAGGAACGGCTTTCAGAGCAGGGCTAAACCTGGCACGTGACGAGGATGGTGGAGAGACCATACATCCAGCAAAGGAGCTGAGAGAAAGCTGCAGTGATGCTTGAGGCCATGGCAGGACCGAGAGTGCCCCAGCAGAACAGGACCAAGGTGGTGGGCATGAGGCAGGGGCTTGTGGACTGGAGGATAGAGGGGGACTTTGGCTGAAAGGCCAGGCACGAGCGAACCATTTGTGGGACTTAAAGAAGCAGACGCCACTGAGGAGAGTGATGCTGAGAGGGAGGAAGTGGCTGCAGCCGGTGGTTCTCAGAGACGGAGGCGGGTGGAACACACAGGTTATAGATAACCTGCGCTTCCCGCACGGCGCACCCTGGGTGGCAGCGTTCCAGGTGCTCAAGGGTGCTCGTGCCTGTTCATAATTCCATTATCTGATTCCTGGGGGTCTGCGGGGAACCTCTGAGAGTCGGGACATGCAGCCAGGCCCAGTGCTAGGGTGGCTCTGCACGTGCATCTCCTCCAAAGAGCCTCTGCTCTGTCCTGAGCGGACTCTGAATGAAGCTGTTGAAGCCCTAAGCCCCTTGGCCAAAGCCATAGAAGGCCTGCCATTGTGTTGACTTTTTTTTATTTCTATTTACTTATGTTATTATTTCTTTTGTTTTTTTCCTCCCTGGGCTGTTCAGGCTGAGAGAGCATAGTGCCACTGAGGCTCTGACCAGCAGACGGTGTTGGTGTTTAAAGATCAGAAGCACAGTCTCCGGTCTTCTGTGCTGCCCCTCTGAGCTGCCTCCCTGCCCTCATGCTTCTTCTAGTCAAAGGGGTCCCACTGAGAAAGACCCTGGCTCGAGCCAGCCATCGTGTCTGCAAGGAGCTCATTTCAAGCGAGGATTTCGGTGACGATAAGTTGCATCTTTTCAGAACATAATCAGACTTTTGTATCACGATCATTCTAGCACCGTCAGCACAGAAACTAGGACAAGGACAGCTTTTGGCAGGCTACGGCATTTCCTGGTGCTAACACTGGCCAGGGGTGAGGGGTAGAGAAGGGTGTGGGGTTCAGTTGGTTGATGGCCCAGAGATTCAGCATGGGGGTGGGAAGTGCCACGCAGCCCAGTTCCCTGGAAGACAGGGGTCCCTCCTTGCACAGCTGAGTCTGGCTCTCGCTTCTGTCCCCGGCTGTTCCCTCCTCTAGTGTGCAGCTTTCTCCCCTCCAGCTCCTCCTCAGCCACAGCGTGGGGTTTGCTGGCCCTCGGCTTTCCCTTATTCTGCCGGCCAACTCTGTAGCTCCCGGGAGAGGGGAGCCCGGGAGACAGGTGGCTAGGGCTTACCTGCATGCCGATGACCGCGTAGATGAAGAACAGCATAGCTATGAGGAGGGCCACATACGGGAGTGCCTGAAATAGAGGAAGTCTGTGCTCAGGCCGGCCTCTTGCCCCTGGGCTGCTGGGGGAAAGACCAATAGACCCACATGGGGTCACACACTTCTTTTTCTTTCCATATTGAAAGGACACTGAGAGGAAGGACTTTCTGAAGTGCAGCACGAGGACTTCAGTGGCTAACAAGGTGCTCCCCCGAAGCAGGGTCAGCTGAAACTCCTACTCTCCAGATAATGCTTAAGTTCATCATGGGGACTTCTTTGTGCTGTCATTGAAACCACTCCAACACACTGGGCACTGACATTGAGCCCATCTTCTTTTGTGGGAATGTTGGGGTGGGTGGGAGGGGCCAGTGTAGACCAGGTTGCAAAGGGATTCCCCCATGTTCCCCCCCCCTGCCCCCCAAAAAACCAGCTGGAATCAGTGGAATTAACAGGCCAATTGGGAAGAACCACTTTTTGGAAGTTGCTGAAGAAAGGAGGACATGTGTCTTAAAATATATACTTTCTGAAAGATGCCTGGAGGCCTGGAGGTAGGGATGGACTAGAGAAAGGAAGCAGCCAACCAGCTGGTGGTTAAGTCCCGCTTCCCCTTAGGAACATCAGATACAAACATCTGGGCTGAGCTCTGGTCCTTCACTACTTGTCCTCCCGGCACGTGTGCATGACACATGCCTGGGGACCACCCTGCACATGCGCTTAAAGCAGCACCCTCTTTCCTGTCCAAGAAAAGGGCTCAGAAAGCCAGTGGAGTGAAAGGTTTCTGCCTCACGCTGGAGCTGGCAGACCAGTGTCCCTTAGCGGACTGGATTCACTTTCCTCCCAGCTCTCGGAGCCACGAAAAACTTTTGTGGCACCACTTCTCAGATTTATGTCTCACTGCTCTGTGACATGACTGTCTTTACAGGGAAAAAGTTGAGCTGTTTCTTTAACAGCCATGAGGCACATCGTTATAACTCGAATCCATTCTGTGTTTTTGCTCATTCTCAAGCATTGGTGGTTTCTATTACAGCTCACTTAGGATTTCATGCCACAGCCCAGACCAGGCTGCTCTCTCCTCCTGCACCACCATTTCTGCAACGTTCCCCAACAGACTCTGGCCCTTCCCTTCTGTGTGTCGGCGCTGAGAATTTCGCACCAAATTCTATTTCTTTTGCTTTTTACCTGTTAAAAAGATCCCTACCCATCGAACTGGAAAGATGGTACAGTGTGGAGGATGCTGTAAGCAGTTGACCAGGGTTTGATCCTCGACACAACATATGGCCCCTTGAGATATGCTGGGAGTGATCCCTGAGCTCAGAGCCAGGAATAAGCCGTGAGGACCACTGGGTGTGGCACAGCAACAACAACAACAAATAAGATTCCTACTCACAGTGGAAAAAAACACTTAACCTGGATTAACATGGGTTACCTATGCGCAGGAGGGGACAACTGAGCGTTTTCTTGTCTTGGAAAGTTTCATGTGTTCAAAAGAACATTTATGACTCATGAATTTTAAGATACAGGGCTATAAATGGATGAACAGGGAAAGTATCATGTTGAGTGAAATGAGTCAGAAGGAGAGGGACAGATATAGAATGAGTGCATTCATTTGTGGGATATAAAAATATATATATAGTCGAAGTCTAATATCCATGGCCAGGGAAAACAGGGGCCAGGAAGATTGATCAATGGTTGAAATTAACCACAAGTGTGTGGGGGGGGAAGAGGGTAGGTAAGATAGAGAAGGGACCAGTATAACAATAATAGCTCGGAATGATCATTCTGGACAAGAGCTGAGGGTTAAAAGTGGGTAAAGGAATATAGCTGATAACTTTTCAGTATCTGTATTGCAAACCACAATGTCCAAAAAGAGAGAGCAAGAACAAGGGAGAGAGAGAGAGAGAGAGAGAGAGAGAGAGAGAGAGAGAGAGAGAGAGAGAGAGAGAGAAAGAGAACTAGAAAGAGAGAGAGACAGACAGACAGACAGACAGACAGACAGTCAGAAGAAAAGTACCTGCCATAGAGGCAGGCTGGGGAGTTGGTGATGGGAGGGAAACTGGGGACACTGATTCTGGGAAATGCACACTCGTGGAGGGATCGGTGTTGGAACACTGTATAACTGAAACCTAATCATAAACACCTTTGTAAGGGTCCATCTCACAATGATTCAATAAATTTTTCCCCTTTTTCTCGATTTGCTCGAGCGGGCCCAGTAACGTCTCCATTGGAGACTTTGTTGTTACTGTGTCTGGCATATCGAATACTCTCGGTAGCTTGCTGGGCTCTCCGAGAGGGGCGGAGGATTCAATAAAAAAAATTAAAATATGGGTCTAGTAAAAAAAGTTATTTGCTTTCTAATTCTAGTATAAGTGCACCTTTTGTTTGACTCGGATGTGTGTGTGTGGGGGGGAGGGTCATTATCTAATGATGCTCAGGGCTTATTCCTGACTTTGCACTTAGGGATTACTCTTGGCGAGTCTTGGGGGACCATAAGTGGTGCCAGGGATTGAATCTCGGTGCAAAGCAAGTTTCCCACCCTCTGTACTATCTACCCACCCCTAGTACCCCTTTGTAAAATCTATACTTGTACCCTTCCTGCCTGAGAATTTATCCAAGAGACCAGACTTAGCAGGGTGAGGTAGCAGGAAGTTCTGGAGAAACTGGGTAGTGTTCAGAAACATACTAGAATGAGGAAGCACCAGCCGGCAGTATCAGAAATGACAGGTCTGATCTGGCTTATGCCCTAAGGACCCCAACTATTTCGCCTCTCCAGGACCCACACGAGCCCATGACCTATGGTGTGTGCTGACTCTGGTGGGGGCTTGAGGGGGTTCCTGAGGTACATCCACACCCACCAAGGGACAAGATTTCAGAAGCCTTGGAAAAGACATCAGCCCCACAGGAGGCTGCCAGGCTTCTGGGACCCCCTCAGGCTTCTTATTCTCTCAGATGTCATCATATGCCATTGCATCCTGGGAGGGAACAAGGGACTTGGAGCCCTTGCCTGTCTGGGGAATGCAGCAGAGATTTCCAGTGAGTCTTTACTGCCTTCTTTCCCGCTTTAAGCAAGTCATTTTCCAAAGAACGCTCGGACAGGTCTCTCCAGCATCCCCCAGTCTCCAGTAGCTTAGTGGGTCCCTGTGACTGTGCCAAAGGGAGCTTGCACCTACCTCGAGAGGGCAAAACCCCTAATATATGCTTCAAAGACACAAGGAGAAGCCCGTGGTGGTGCGACTCTTACCTGAAAGGACTTAATGAAAGTCCACAGCAGGGTTCGGATGCCTTCGCCCCTGCTGAGAAGCTTCACCAATCGCATGACTCGGAAAAGACGGAAAAAGGTGATGGAGATTCTATTGCTCTCTTCAGAGTTCTGAAGGGTTATCATGGAGAGGTCAAACCCAGTGGAAAGTAGAACATGCAACACTTTCAGAAAACACAGCAATAGATGCAAACAAAGGTGACAGGAGTAAGAATTGAAAAAAAAATGTGTTTCTAAGGGCCTTTTTTTTTTTGGTCTTAAGAAGCATGATATGCAAAGGAACAGTTACATGCGAAACAACACAGGCCTTGGAAAACTGTCCACACAGTACATGCATGTCCGCGTGGCCTAGTGTGTTAGGGAGAATGCTGGGCTGGTCAAGAGGATTGGACACATGATGAGTACAAGACACCGCGGACACAGCTCTGCAAGGACAATCATGGAGAATACAGGACGACGACGAGGGGGGCGGGGACACTCAGCATGGCCCAATAAACCAAGAAGGCCCGGCCCCTGGGGACGAGTCACTGATCTTACCCCAGGTGTAGCGGTTGGGACAGGGACATTCTCACTTTCAGTTGGCTTTAAGAAATCAAAGATGGAAAAGGCGTTAATGAACGGGGAAAGGGAGCGGGGGCTCAGGGGGACGGCCCCTCCCGCCGTTAGCAAACCCCAGCCTGGTTTGTGTCTGAGGACACCACCAGGGCTGCCTCCCAGCCCAGTGGCAGGGGCATGGTGGGATGGGACTGAGGGACGGGCAGCCGTCCCCCATATCCAACACTGTCTCACTCCCCTCCCAGACCAGGATCAGCTGTTACCCGGTCAGAGGTGCAGGGGGGTGCTGCTTCTTCCAGGAGAATCAGAAGAGTGACAGTTGTCAGGAACGAGCTGCTCAGTAGCAGGTCATGCCTGCCCCCTTCTAGGTGGGACTTCCCTACTCTGTGGACCCCTATTCTGTACAGAATCTTTATGAGGGACTCTCCTCTTTACTGGACCCCTCTGGGAGGGCCCCTCTGTGTGGGGGGACCCTCTTTGCTGGGCCGTGTGCTCATGGCAGTGTATTGTGTGTCCCAACAGGCTCAAGGCCCCACCACAGTTGAGATGCGTCAGAGAGGGAAAGCACTGCTCTGGGGATTCTCAGAGGAAGCCGCGGAGGGTCAGCTTGTCCGGAACACCAGCAGGTCCACCAGGCCCAAGATATGGCTGGTCTCTGGTCCCCTGGGTCCAGAGCCGAGGCCTCCTCTGTGGGATCCCCTCGGACTGCAGCGAGGCCCCAGGAGTGGGGAGCCGGCCCACTCCACTCTGTGCCCAGCGTGGCTGACCCCTTTTGATGCTCAACCATTTGTGTTTAAGAGGGTGCACAGAACCTGTAGACAAACAATGTCAGGAAGCATCTAAGTGCTGAGGGCGGTGCCAGGAAAGGGCCATGGCCCTCCTCTCTTTGGTGGTGGCGCCTGTCATCTATCCTGCAGAACTGGGCCACCAGGCACCAGAACTGCCTCCCACAGGGCGGGCTGGACTCTTCAGGTTCTCCTCCTGGAGGCGCAGGGGGTGAAGGGAAGGGAATCTGTTCGCAGCCCTATGCCTTTCATCCCCAGATCCCCACCCTCCCGCAGCTGGCTGCCTCCTGAGACCACACAGGAACTCCATGCAGATTCAGGAATCGGGGAAGATTGGATTGCTGCAGCTTCAGCGATGTGACTATGAATCCAGAACCAGCAGCTCGGGTGGGGTGGGCTGGGAGGGGGTTGAAGGGGCCTCAGCTTCACCTGGGAGGCTCAGAATATAGACCCCAATAGGTCTGGGGTGGGGGGTCTATATGCAGTATCTTCTGTAACAGCTCAAGTAAGCATCTCCTTGAAAGGACAATGGAGGGTTTGGAACTCAAGACTGACAGAGAGTTCTCTTTCCAAAATGCTGATGGGCACCCACACCACTGGTATGAGAGCTAAGAGCAGGGGCCAGGCGCTGAGTGTGTGTGTATGAGTGTGTGCACATGAGCATATGTGTGTGAATGTGAGCGTGTTTGTGTGAGGTGAGTCTGGGAATGAGTGTGAGTGTGGCAGCGTATGTGCAAGAGAGAGAGAGAGAGTTGAGCTTGTGTGTGTGTGATTGTGAGAAGATGTGTGAGAATGTGAGTGTGTAAAAGTGAATATAAGAGTGTGGGTGTGTGAGAGGGTATGAGTGTGTGTCAGTGTGTTCAATAACGTGTTTGACAATGAGTATGTGAGAGTATATATGTGTGTATAAATGTATGTGTGTATGAATGAATTTATGAGTTTATGAGTTTATGGGCATGAGTTTATGAGTGTGTAAATGTAAGAAGGTGAGTGTATGAGGATGGGAGTGTGAGTGGAGGTGTGAATGCGAGTATGTGAGTATGTGTGTGATGTGAGTGTGTGAATGTGTGTAAAGTGAGTGTGTGAATGATTGTGTGTGAATGTGTGTGTGTGAATATTAGTGTGTGTGTGATTATATGAATGGATGAGTGTGTAAGAATGTGAGTATGAGTGTGTGAATGTATGTGAGTATGTGTGATTATGTGAATGCATGTGTGGGTGTGAGTGTGTGTGAGTGTGTGATTATGTGAATGGATGAGCGTGAGCCTGTACATAGGGGAACCCTCCTGAGCCCACAGAGTGTTGTCCGGGGCCCTGCAGGATAATGAAGAGGCCTCGGGCTGGGCCAAGGAAGGACTCGTTGTGATCACGACATGCTGCCCTCCATGTTTCTGCCCTGAGATGTGTCTGACATGCCTTCCGGGGCAATGAGGGGCAATCAGCCACGACCTGACTTCAGCCAGCGCAACTCTTGCTCAGGGCTGTCCTTGAAGTGAGACAAAATCTGGACAAGTACCTGAAACCCTGGGTACCCCTTAGTCGGAAAAAAACCAAGAGGGGGGAGACACGCAGCAGGGTGGGTGGGAGCAGGCAGTGCCGCATGCAGGATAGGAAGAAGAGCAAACCACACACACAAGACGGGGGCAGCCTGGACACCCCCAGCCCCATGCCACATGGGGGAGGGTCCTGCTGCAGGGGAGGCTGTCGCTGGCAGTTCAGGGGGACAGTGCAGGTTGCCCAGATGTCTTCCAAATAAACTGAAAGGCCAGTGAGGATGAAGGCCTGATGAGAAGGGCAGGCTCAGGGGTTTCCCACAAACTCTGCTGGCCCGGGGTGCATCTCACCCAGTCCCACTGGTGGGCGTGTGCCCAGTGTGGGCAATTTGCTGCTGAAGCTGAGAGCTCCTCAGCCAGGGAAAAGCCGGGAGTGGGACCACGACTGAGCATGGGTCCTTTGGGAGTTGATGAAGGTTCACGACTCAGATGGCGGCAGAGAGGAGATGCCATCCCCGGCTTCCCTACAGGAAGAGGTTTGAAAACAGAAGGAGCTAGGAGGGGCGGGGCAGAGGGAACAGAGGGAGCTGATGCTCTGCCCCCTTCCAGGGCCCAGCATGGGGTGACCATGCTCCTGGGAAGGACCCCCACCCCTGGGGCTGGGGCTGCTCTGTGTTCAGGAGATTCCAAGGACAGCTTGGAGCTTGCATCGGATGACCTCTGCAGCAGGTGCCTTATCCTCAACAGGCCAAGTTTCATGATGGACCACCCACAACTACAGGACAGGGGTGTCCTCAATTTCCCAAGTGCAACCAAGGGGTCAGGCTACACCTTCTGCGTTTGTGCCCTGCCCCATTCCCCCCCCCCCCCCCATAAGGATAATGGGAAAAGACTGTCAGCGACAACTGCTCCTTGCTCAGGACAAATAGGGTGTTGGGCCATTTCACCATGCCAGGAGCAAACAAGGCATCCAAAAGAGAATAAAAGTGGGCCTGCCAGCCATCGCCTGGCACCTCAGTAGCTTGATGCTATTAGAACTGAATGGGAAGGAGTCCCAGAGAGCTATACAACCCCGTGAGAGCCAGTGGGCAGAGCGGGAGTGAGGGAGAAGGAGGGTGAGCATGCAGGCAGGGCCGTGGAAAGGGCCATCCAAAGTGTTTCTACAAAAGAACCCAAATGTCAGGCTCCATTTCTCATCTTCAGATTAAATCATTCATTCTTGGAGATCACAGCAGTAAATCACAGAGCTGTGGGGCCGGAGCAATCGTACAGTAGGTAGGGTGTTTGCCTTGCACGTAACCGACCTAGGTTCAATCCCCAGCATCCCATGTGATCTCCTGAGCCTGCCAGGAGCAGGAGTAAGCCCCGAGAACAGCTGGGTGTGGCTCAAACAAAACAAAACAAAACAAAAAAACCCACAAACAAAACAAAACCCCCCAAAATCACAGAACTGAGTTTGGCTTGGGGAGGTGGGCTGGCACAACCCCTGGGCTGGAGATATGACACATGGGGCAGGAAACAGTTCAGATGACCACGAGCAACAGCACATCCTTGGAACTCAGTGAAAACCAAAGAGGTGGGGAAGCCAAAAACAAGTCTCTAAAGTGCTTTTGCTTTAACATCGACTTCACCGTATATATGTTTATATATACTTGCCGCTACAATTTTCTAAAAATAAAACCAACATGAAAATCAATTAGGTAATGGAAAAGAACAATTATCAGAAGTTGGGGGAGAGAGTACAGCAAGCTAAATATTGCAAAAAGGAAAAAAAAATATATAAAGGCAGCTAAAACCAGCCAACGATGGACCAAGAGTGTCATGCACAGCTGATCCAGGAGCTCAGGGAACAAGACTCCCCACCCCAGGGTGTAATGTGCCCTATTCCCCTGGGACTCAGCTCTGTGTGTGTGTGTGTGTGTGTGTGTGTGTGTGTGTGTGTGTGGTGGGGGGGGGGCACAGAAATCAGTGGTTTCACTCAGACAATCACACCATCGGGGGTGAAGGATACCCCTTCTCTTTTATCCTTGTGGCCTGTGACTTGTGGGTGTCCAGTAAACCTGGGTCCAGTGAGAGGATACATGAAAAGGTTCTTTTTTTTTTCTTCTTGGGTCACACATGGCAATGCAGAGGGGTTACTCCTGGCTTTGCACTCAGGAATTACTCCTGGGGACTATATGGGATGCTGGGAATAGAACCCCGGTCGGCTGCATGCAAGGCAAATGCCCCACACGCTGTACTATCCCTCCAGTCCTGAAAAGGCACTTTACTGTACTCCCTCTCCCCTGCACCCAGCACGGAACTATGGAAATCATTCTACCAGCCCCTCAGGAGTAAGCATTACCACCTGCGGGGGTTGGGCACAGGGGGTTAGGGCTTCAATCCCAGGCTTCCGCTGACCAGAGAAAGGCCACTGACAATGAGGAGACAGTATGTTCCCTGCGTGCTCTGGCGTCTGAGTGGAGCCAGGAGTGGGCTTACTGAAACCCTCTTCTGCCCAGCTGCCCCAACATCAAAGTGTGAGCTTGGTGGCTCCGTGGCTTTGGTGGCTGTTGCCAGGTGGAGCAGGATGAGGCTGAGAGGTGAGGAGTGAGACAGAGCCATGGGCACAGGCGCTGGCAAGGGGCAGGGGAGCTGAGCACCGTTGCTGAGGTTGCAGTGCCGCACCCCCCCCCCCCCCCCAGCAGACCAGGGAGGTGTTAGCAAGCTTAGCTTGGTGAACACACCTTGGGAGTTCGTCCCTGCCCGCTGCAGCCCTCCAAGCACTGGGTGCAGCCAGGCGAGCTGCAGGGGCAGTGGCGGGCTGTGATTTCCCCTCCCGCCCAGAGATCTCAGACCTGCAGACGGCCCAGGCCACCCTGCCAGCAGTGATACTCTGATGCTGGCAGCCAGAGCTATCTGAGGTGAGAGGGCTGGATGGGCAGATGTCTGGCAAGGAACTTGGGAGGGATGCTTGGGCAGTCCCAGAGGGCCCTGCCTGCTTCCACCAGCATTGATGATCTCATAAGCAAGCAAAATTCACACATGACAAATGGCATCGTTCACATATAGGAGAACTGACACAAGTCTGGGCTTAGCGGAGGCCAGGGGCTAAGCATACTGGGTCTAGGAAAATCTACCTTCTAGGAAAATAGAACTTCTAGGAAAATAGAACTTTTGCACTGCCTTGGGCATGAATCTGGGTGCTCTGAGATTTAAATCTGCCTTTCATGAATACCATCATATGTTCGAGTCTCTTGAATTTATTGTTAGGTGAAAAATCTACACTTATGATGATATAGCGTAATAGTTTTCAAACTCCTGTTTTTTTTTAAAAGCAAGCTTTAACAACAACAATAATAATAACAATAAAGTAAACATTCCTCTGATTGCCTAGTCCCTATAACTCTAAAGGGCAGGAAAGGCCATTATGGCTCATGCCCACCCCATTTGACACAGGAGTACCCCACATCTGCACTGGGGGAGGAGTATAGGACTCCTGGGCTGAGCAGCTCTTCGGAACCAGCCCGGGGGCACATGTAGGTTCACGGTCCTGTTCTGCACCTGCTTCTGGGGCCCAGGATGGAGCATGTGATGCTGCCGTGGCAGGCGTGCAGGCGTGGAGGAGGATTACTTAGGGCTTCTGGCACACTGCAAAAGGCCAGCAGTGTCCCCCAACACCCTCTAAAACTGCCTGATGAAGTAGGGGGAGTACAGATGAGGTGGGCAGAGCCTCTCCTACCTGCCTCAAGCTCCTGTGGTCTGGGCACGACTCAACCCCCGGAGCAGCCAGAGAGAGAGATCAGCTGTCCCTTCTCCAGCCCCTGAAAGTGGGGCACTCCAAAGGGGGGCTTCCCAAGTATGCTGCTGCCTAGACACTTGTCTACTCCCCATCAAACGGTGCAGTGGATCACTGGACCAGGGATGTAGACACTCCTTTCCAAGCTGTGCCAGGCTCTGCCTCTCCTGCCAGGGAGCTGGGCCTCAGAGGATTCCCCGGGTCACCCGTGGACTCCGCAGCAGCCACCAAGAGGCTCCCTGTCCTGCGTCTTCAGAGGACATACTACAGAACTCCACCTGATAGCTGTAAAAACACGAGGCACAAAGCAAGCACGTGGCCTGGCAAGATCCCTCAGCTCAGAGTGGTGGTGTGTACAAACCCACCCAACAGGCCCCCAGCCTGACCTCTTGAACAAGGCTTTCTGCTCAAATAACGTTTTTGGGCCCGGCAGATGGTGGGCTAGTGACCTCCCTTGTGTACTGGTGGGGAAGGGACTGGGGGTAGCAGGAAAGGGTTGTCACAAGGTTCTTCAGAAGCCACGTGTACCTGAGTTTCTCAAGGGAAGAGAGGGGGAGGGGTGGGGCCCTTGTCTCCTCTAAGTCAGACTTAAGGCAAACAATGAACATCATAGGACACAAAGTTGGCTACTTACATTCACTTCAGTTATAGCAATATCAACGACGCTACCAACAACAATTAAGGCATCAAAAGTGTTCCATGCATCAGTGAAATAGTGCTGTTAGGGCAAGCATTCAGAAGCCACAGAGAAGAAGCACGACAGGAAATAAAAAAAAAAAGAAGAAAAGGACAGTGTTATCGAGGGGGAACACTTTGGCCTGATGCCACCCGGCCACTTGATAATCCTCCCTGGAACACACGTGGCAGAGACACGGCACTTTGGGGGCCGCTTCTGAGAGTGAGGAGGGGCAGCCGGAGCCTCTGCTGGCTGCTGCGGCTGGGGGCTTGGCCCCCTACAGAGGCTCCCCCTCTCTGCAGCCTCCTTGCCTCTGCTCTCCTGAGGAAATCCCTGGCTGTGGACTGGCTGAGACTCTGGGCTCTGTGACTTGTCCAGGTGGCGGCAGTGCGGGGGCAGGAGCAGCAGGTGCACAGACAGAGGGAGAACAAGAGCGGCGGCCACGCGGGCACATACTCACGTCGGCTTCGCTGAGGGCCACGTCTATAATGCTGCCGATTACGATGAGAGAGTCAAACGTGTTCCAGGCGTCACTAAAATACCCCTGCACAGAGCAGGCGGGGGCACATGTCGATGAGCAGGTAGGGATGGCGTGCCACGTGGACTGCAGGGAGCCCCGCCGAGGCCCCGCAGCACCTGGGCACCATGGCAGGCAGGTGTGTGTGTGGGGGGTGTAGGGGAGAGGGGGCGAGAGAGCCAAAGGGAGCCACCAGACTGTCCCTGGTGGGAAGGGATGTAGAAGGGCAAGGGGCACATGCATGGGGGGAAGGGGTGCACACACGCACACACACACGGGCACACACACATGGGGACAATGGCACACGGGGTCACACACACAGAGACACACACACGGGCACACACCAAGCAAACTCCGCACTCAGCAGCTCCACATTGAACAGAATCTCCTTGGGCTAGAGAGAACCGTCGGGCCACTCTGCCCTGTGCTGGGGTAATGACCCAAGGCCTCCCCCAAAGCATCTGGGAGCTGAGCAGAGGAGAGCGCACTCTCCAACCACCCTGCTGCCTTCTCTCCCTGGAAGAAGAGCACTGTGACTGAATACCCCTTCTCTGCACTCTAACACCAATCCGTGATCTGCCTCCTCTTGGTCCAATGAGAAGGATCACAGAGGAGGTGACCGGGCATGCATGTGTGTGACTGACACAGGCCAGGGTTCCCAGGGACTCTGGTGCTTATAGGCCCATGGGGCAGAGCCAGCAGAGAGGCTGAATTGCGGCTGGGGTGAGGGCGTGTGTGGAGCTGAGGCAGGCCTTTCTTGGGGCTTAGGGGGCCCTGACGAAGGAAGAGGATGCCAAAAGGTGCCCGCTGACCTCAAGAGATGCCCCAGACTGCCACACTTCCCTCCCTCCACGCGGCTCGCATTCTGTCACCACCCTTTAAGGATCCTTCTCATCTCTCAGACACCCTGTCAGGACTCGCAGAGAGAGACAGGGAGAGTGTTTAGGCAGGAGCCCGAGTTCCAGCCCTGATACTGCGGGGAATGGTCCCTACAAAACAAACACACACCCCACCAGGCTCTTCCCATCATCCTGATGCCTTGTCACTGACCCATGCCCTTTCGGCTCTAGGTGCCCAGGTTCTGCTGAGCCCCTGCACCGTCTTGAAGCATCCCGTCACCTCCACCCTCTCTTCCATCCTGATGACTAAACATGGCCCTCTGTCTGCAGGCATCTGCCACCCCGAAGCCTCCGAGCAGGGGGACTGAGTGGCGACTCCGCCCCGTCCTCACCAAGATGGTCCAGCTCAGAGCCTGGAGCCTGGTAATGGCATGTGCTTGGTATGTTCCCCTGCCCCTGCCCCCTACAGGCTTTCCAGTGTTGCCCCCTCATGCTTTACCAGGACTCTATCTTGGGACGATATGAGCAAAGCATCCCTACACTTAGAACTACATTCACTTGAAGGCAGGAAGTACCTCACTGCCTATGCTGTATCCTCGGTGCCCAGTGGGGGGTGGGGTGGGGGAGGCTACTGTCTCCTGCCTCTGAGCTGGGGAGCACTGTGCACAGGAGCTTCTGGTTGTGAGGCCAGTGACCCTGCCCATCACCGGTATCCTTAAAGACTCAGAACATTTTTGGGAAATAAAATTTTAAGCTCGAATCATATACATGTATATATATTTAAAAAAAAAAACAAAGAAAAAGAAGGCAGGCTACTTCTAACAGGGTACTTAAGGCAGAGTCAAGAGTGTGAACAGAAGGTGCTTTGAAGTGTCAGATCACATAAACTCAGATCCGGTGCAGGCCCAGCACTCTGCCTGTGATAACCCAGGAAGTAAAATTGGGGTGGGGGGATTACCTAGCAACCCCCACTCCAAGCCAGATGGGGCAGTGGTGAACTGACTAGTGCTCTGGGCTGAATTTTTCTTTTAAATTTAAATTTCATTTTAAATAATGTGAAGATTTCCCACCCAGATTACCATGATTTCTGACTCATTTTTCACTCCCTTCCTCCTCTTAAAAGACACTCACCAACTACCTTCCATTACAGACCCTTTCCAGACTTTTCTCTTACTCCTCAGACAAGTCAACTGAAGGAGTCTCCTTACACCAACTCGGATCATTTATGTAGACACATAGATCTCTGCAGACACATAGACATACAGATCCCTGTATGACACATGCAGGAAGACAACCTACTTCATAGTCTGTCCTTTTATATGTGTGTTTGTGTGTGAGTGTGTGGGGGGGTATCGTTCCCTGTAGTGCTGGGGGTGGGAGGAATGCATTCAGGGTTCTCGTATGTAGGTCCAGCACCACAGTCCTTTGGACTATTTTCTTCCCCAGCCTAAATACCACATCTAATACCTAGATTTCCTTCTCAAAGTTCATGGCTCTTGTATGGACAAATGGAGGAAAATCAGGTTAATCCGAGGACACGCCAGACACAAATGCCACGAGATGTCTGTACCGGCCATAAAGAGTATATGCGGCTTCTTCCCTCAAGGAGGGTCCGAACAAAAAAGGGCAGCTGGCCCATTCCTTGCCTGCTGCAACTGCAGTAGCTGGGGCACAAGACTGAAGAACATTTGCTTTCTAAAGTCCTCACACTGCTGCTTATGGAGACGAACAACTGACCGGCTAGCAACAGAACCAAATGTAGGCGAATAGCAGAGACTACCCCTGCCTTCATAGACCAAACTGGAAGCCCAAAGCTAAGAGCTAAAGAGCTCCTTGAATCCTCTCCTTCAATCTGGAGTAGAAATGATGCTTTCATGGAACACTGACTCCTGGGGCCCCCTGCTGTAGAAGCGCTCTCTCTCCAAGGGCCCCTCAAATATAAAAGAAATCCTAGAACCTGCTGGTTTTACTAGCAGACTGGCACAATGCCCTCTGACCTGCCCTACCAGAAAGACCGATAGAGAGCTTCACTTCCTGTATTTTCCCCTTTTTTGTGTTTTTACAGAACCAGCACAACCTCATCTCTCCTGACAGAGACACAAGTGAGTTTTCCTAGAAGGTGTGCCTCACACTGTGGAGAAGGCCACTGGGGAATCTTAGTACACGGTTCCTCACAACAGACCAAGAGCTTCCTGACAGGAGACTGATGAGGAAGGACTTGCCCCTGAGAAGCTGTCCCTAGAGTTTCCTCTCCACAGACCCCACACTGCAGCTCCTCGGCCCAACAGCTCTGACTGGGATGGGGCCTCCTGGACTTTTGTGAAAGCCCACTCACCGGGAATTAGGTTAACAGGGAAGCAGAGCTGAAAAGAAGGCAGAGAGAATTTTAAGAATCTTGTTCCTGGGAGGATAAATTCTCTCCCACTGCGTTGGATGCCCAGCCACACAAGACCCCATACTCCCTGACTTTGATGGCACCCTCAGTCCCAGTGTTCCTCAAGAGTAGAGAAGCTGCTTCAACGTTTCTCTCAGTTTGTCACCTGAAGTTGTCTGGTGCTGTGAAAAGCTCTTGTGGAGTGAAACTACAGACCAGCACAATTTCTGGAGGAAATAGCTCATTTTAAAACTCTGATCAGTACTGATTATAAACGAGCACTCATTTCCCTTTGCCCTATCACCAGTCTGTTCACACGCATTGAACTCTCCCTGCCAGGTTTGGCAGCAGAGCTCGCTGTGTGGTGCAGTTTGCTACACAGCACCAGGGTGATGGCCCGTGAATACACGCGCGCGCACACCACACACACACACACACACACACACACACACACATACACATACACGTGCACACAAACAGACAGGAGTCCCTTCTTTTCAGCCTAGAACAAGCTTTCAGAAACAGTAGAGCTTAATCACGGGGCAAGGGAAGAGAAAGGGTGCAGCCAGGGATCAGGGGAATGTTCCAGAAATAGAGTCTGTGTTGCATTTTTCAAGAACTCTTCTTGTTCTTGCTTTGCAACTTTAATCCATCAGTCCAGACAAATATATGGGAAATAGTAAAGGAGAAGGAAAGCAAACCAAAATCTCAAAGGAAATTAAGATGCGCTGAGAAAGGGAGGAAATGCTTACGAATGGAGATATGGACAAGTCACAGTAGATAACATCTGGCCATGCATAAAGTGCCAAATCTGACCCCACTGCAATCGCCCCAACTGATCACTTACAAGTGTCTTTTCTTTTTGGTCCACAAAGATCTGATAAAGATTGCATCAAAATTAATCCAAATTAAAGGAAGGAAGAGTTTTGAATTAGAATTCCATGTAAGTATGGAGTATGTGAAACCATCATTTCATGAATAAATAATGCTGTCAGATACTTTACACACAGATGAATGAACAACCGGGTCACTGAATCTGCCCTTCACTAACCCAGAGTTTGGGGCTCTGCGAGAGGGGAATCTGAAGACTGAACATCCCACAGCTCTGCCAGCATTTGCTCCTCTCTCGAGGGCTCATTGAGGATACTCCTGGTACAGGTCGGACATGCGCACGGCCTGGGGTAGCAAGCCACAGTTAGAGGCACTCTTCAAGGGGAGGACACAGAGTGGGCCTTTGCTTCTTTCTCCCGCCCTATCAAATAGAACTATTAGTGCCCTCATTTTGTGAGCAGGGAAACTGAGGCACAGAGCAGTTAAATAACTTGCTGGAGCCGGCAGGAAGAGGTAGGGGTTCCAGCTCAGCCTGAGCAGGGGTCTATGCATAAGCAAGCTGTTCTCTCTCCCATATGCCATTGGCAGCAGTTGGAACTGGATTTGCTTCCTCTCGGCGGGAGAATGTGCTAGGCGTTCTGACAGGGATGAACAAATTTTGTGATTTGTTTTGTCTTAAAGTCAGTGACATTTTTCTAAATTAAGCAGATGGGAGATGGTTTGGACTGTGAGAGGTTTGCAGCTGCTAGAACTTTCCATAAAAGGCAAGAAAGGTACTGTGGTCAGAGAGCAAGCAAAACTAATGCTTTGATGCTAGAAATCTAAAAAGTAAAATCAGGGCTGGATCCTTTCTGATTAGTTCAGTTCAAAAATTTTCTCCCATGCTTAAGTCAGAAGACAACTTTCCCCCAAGACAGCTCTTCTAGAAACAGAAAATCAGGTTTCAAAACAATCTCCATTTTACAAATTCCCAACTCTCTCCTCCCTTCGTTTTCTCAGAACTGTTTTTGTGAGGTTTTGGGTTTGCAGATTTATTTCCCTATGTGAATAGAGATGCCCTAATCAGATTTTACTGTTCTCAGGTGATAACCCAGCTAAGCAGCAGAACAATTTGGCCTAACTCAGTAACGCAAGACTAACAGGAAGCAGGGCTGCTCAGGGCTGATTCAACAACACTTTGCAAAGTGGGTTCTGCAACTCACCTTGGGTTTAAATGCAATGACTTTCAAAACCATCTCGACGGTGAATACCCCAGTGAAGACCATGTTCAGAATGTCCATGGCATCGTTGAACATCTTGGACTGCTCATAGTGCTGTGAGGAAGGCAGAGGCACAGTCTCAGAGGCCATCCCAAGGTCAGAGCAGAAGGCCCTGCGGCCCTCGGCATGCACCCCACCTTATCCTGGACACAGAGGCACCTCCCGGGCCAGCACCTCTGCCCCAGCATCCCGCAGCACACAATTAACTCAGCACAGAGCACGGGGGTGCCTGGACAAGATGAGGATGATTGGGAAATGAAGGGGAAAGACCCATGTTTCCTCTGGGTGAAATAAAAGGATGTCATTCTTTCTGTTGGTAGGGTTGGGAGCCTGGGTAGTGACCTAGGCACAAGGCAATACCCACCCTATGTCTATAAACACAGGGAGGGTTCGAATAGGGGGTACATTCTGAGAGGGGTACGTGTTAAGCCATTTGGTTAAAGACAAGGTAGACCATGGTCCCTCTCAAGCAGAGAAAGTATTTAAACTTAAGTGCCAGGAAACTCATTCTGGGCTGGCTTTAGATTCCTTTTCAGATGGCACCGTGAGCTGATCTGATTTGTTCTAGTTCTTATAAGCCTGCAAGGAAACTAGTTTAAGATTTGGTCTTTGTTTCCAGTCCCAATAAAATACCCAGGAGATAGCCTCACTCTTGGGTGTGTTTGGGGTTGATACTGCCCCACTTGGCCAATGGAAGGGAGCTGCGTCCCTGGCCCCCCAAAATGAGCAAAATGGGTTGTTGTGCAGCTGATAATACTTCTTTAAGGGGAAGATGCCTCCTCCCAAACTAAGTGCACCCAGAGAACAGAAAAGAGAATCTGGGCCAGAGAGACAGACGCCATCAACCTGAGTTGGTCCCATCGCTGCAAAAGTTTCCCTGAGCCCCACCAGGAGTGAGCCCTGAGCACTGAGCCAGGCACAAGCCCAGAGCACCGCTGAGTGGGCCCAAATTCCCCCATAAAAAAAATAAAAAAGAAAAAGAAAATCTCCTCTTTGCATCTCACATTACACCAGGCCCAGAACAAAGAAACTGGCAGAGTATAATGCAATGACTGAGTTATTCCTTACCTCTCAGGGAGGAAGGCTGGGTTTCCCCTTTGACCAGCAAAGAAAAACAAGGCTGTGGAATTCAAAGCACCTTGGCCACTGTTACAGGGCTCTGGCCAAAAGAGAGCAAGCAAGCCCAGATGGGTGAGGAAATCAAACTCCTGCTCTTGTGCGGGATGGCTTTCCACCCTCAGTATTTGGGGTGTGGGGCTGTGTAGAAGAGGCCCGGATGGGATCCCCACAGCTGTCTCCATTTTTACCTGCATGGCCAAGCAGAGTGTGTTGAGCATGATGAGGACAAACATCATGTATTCGAAAGGCGAGGAGTTCACCACGTACCAGAACTTGTACTGGTAGGGGTTTTTGGGGATGTATCTCCGCAAGGGACGTGCCTTCAAGGCGTATTCCACACACTGGCGCTGCAAGAGCAGAAAAGAGCGAGGCGGGGCCCTGAGCAGGAGCCTCCGTGGAAGGAGCATGCAGAGGGGAGCAGGGGAGGGCAGGAACCAACTGGGGGGTCCCCACCCCGACCCCCACAGCTCCTCGACAAAGGGAACCCACCTACCTACGCCACTGCCTCACCCATCTGCAGAGGAAACCCCGGGGGCCAGTAGAGTCTCTGATTTGATTCTATGTCGTTTAGCCAAACGCTGATTCCATAGCTGGGCACCACCTTGCCTCAGCCCTCAGGGATGAAGCAGTGGCAAGACCCAGGCCCACCCAAGCCCCGATGCTGCAGGCATTCTGCCTACACAGGTACCCCTCCGGGGAAGGAAGGCGAGTGGGAAAGGCACAGACGGCCCCAGGAAGCAGAGGCTACGCTATCTCTCCAAGGCTGCAGAGAGAACATACGAGACCTCTCAGAAGCCGAGGCATCAGGTGCCAAGTCAGGGGTGGGCTCCTCTAAGAACCCAGGGCCATGGCCAGGAATGGTGGCTGGACTGAGCTGGGTTTGATTCCTGGCCAGAGCGCCATGCTGCCCTCTCATGGTACCCACGTCTACCTTGCAGCAGGCCCAGAGGGAGCCTCGGGCTCAGCGTCCAGGCCCTGGACCTCCCACTGCAAGTCTGGGTTCTGGCTTCTGACAGGCCCCCAGGTCCAGGGCCTGACTCTGAGAGACCTCACATATTCACTTCACATTCACATTCACCAGTCTACTAGAGGCCTCAAGTGTGGCCTGGCTGCCAGGGGCTCTGAGTCACTCCTTTCCTCGGCACTGAGGGCAGAACTGGCCAGGCCTGGGTCTCACGTCACAGACGGCATGGGCAGGGTCACCTTAGAATGGGGAGGGGGGAAGAGCTCCCACTCTCCCATCCCATGTGACCCCCATGAGGACCAACCACCTCACCCCGCTGCTACCACGTCCCCTGAAGATGCCCAGGCAGGCAGGTGATTGGCTCACAGTGCCACTATCAGATGCCGTTGTGAGAGGGCCTGGGGATGGGGGCTCTGAACCGCAGACTGTCTTCTCAGGCTGAGCAGAACCTCAGAAACAGCCCAGAGTTGCCTTCATGGAGAGATAAGGGGTGTGCTGAGAGAGGAGGAAGGCTGCACCCACAGTCCCAGCTGGGTGGGCTGTGTCACGCTCAGTCTCCAGTTCAAATCTTGAAACTTTCTCGGCAAGGGGACAAGGGACTTCCTCCTCTACAACATCGCTCACCCTGAGGGGGAAATGTGGCAACAGCTGGAGAATTTGGGGGTTGTTGCTACGAGACTCTGGTGGGCAGAGGATGCTGACAGACGCCCTACCAAGCACAGCCACGGGGGCCTGAGCCACAGCACGGCGGGTAAAGCTCCTGCCTCTCACACAGACAACCCTACTCTGATCCCCGGCATCCCACCCTGAGTCCAACCAGGAGTAAGCCCTGAGCACTTCTGGGTATGACTCCCCGTCAAAGAAAAACCCTCCCAAAATAACCCCCAAGCCCAATCACAGACTAGAATGATTTGGGTAAAAGGTCAACAGTGCTGAAACTGAAGACGGACAAGGCTGTCCCCTAAGCAGAGGCAGCAGGAGTGTCCAGTGTCCAGCTGCGTGGCCCACTATGACTTTGAGCTGTCATTAGCAGGTCTTGGTAGGGTAGGCGGTCCCCAATGCTCTGAGCCCTTGGCCTCAGGCCCAGGGTGGGCTTCACAGAGGCCAAGAATCCTGGTAGGGGGGCAAAACCCTGCTCCACAGCAGGGACCGCAGCTGGCTGGGAGTGTCTGGTTTGGGAGCAAGTGTCAGGCCCTGTGGCAAGCAGGTAGGGCACCCTGGTGGGGGCTGGGGGCTCTTTCCTCTCTGCCTCGAAGGAGCAGGGCCCAAACAGTGTGTGACTTTAACCTGATTTTTGTCCAGCTCACAGTTCTTATACTCTTTCTCCCCCTGCTCCTGAAAGGTGACAATGACAAAGCCCACAAAGATGTTCATCATGAAGAAAGCCACGATGATGATATAGATGATGAAGAAGATGGAGATCTCCACGCGGTAGTTGTAGATGGGGCCGACATTCTCTCCGTTCGAATCGATGGCTTTATACAGCAGCCTGCAGAGCAGAGGGGCCGAATGAGCACTGCTTGCTGAGCACTGTCTGCCCCCTCCCCTCCCAGCAGCCTGCATAGCCCTACCCTGCTGGACCCCACCCCGAGGGGGTGTCCCCCATGCTGCAGGTCCCGGGGAACACTGAATGTCAGACTCACAGATAGTCCTCCGCCCCCCACTCCTGCGCACCAGGCTCTCAGAGCAGCCCTTTTGCTTCAGCCCAGCCCCTGGGATCTATTCCTTGAAGGTCTGTTTTTCAGGATCGGAAAAACACAAAATTTGACTGTGACCCACCACAAGCCTCCTGCTGACAAGGGCAAGACGATGCGAGCACCAGCTGCAAGATGCTGGAGGAACCGAAAACCAGAGATAGTGGCAAAGACTTTTTCCAAAGAAAAAAGAGGTTCCCTAAACTAAAATATGCCATGAAGTTAAACAGATGCCAAGGAGAACTCCAAATAGGAAGAGGGGAAAACACTTTACACACTCCAACTTCAGTGCAGCCCCATCTGGATGCCAATCCAATACTTCTCTGGTACCCGCCCCTTGATGCCTGGTGCCAGCCATACACATAGGCTCGGGGATAGGTGGGCATGACCACAGTGCCTTTGTCTGGAAGTTCACAGACCAAAGGTCACTATCCTCGGGGCAGAACTGGAGTGGAACCTGACCCTCCAAGCCACAAGCTCCAAGTTTGATGAGTTCCCCTGGGAGGCCAAATCTTGGGCAAGGCAGAGCTTAGCCACTCGCTCCAGACTGCTTTCATCAGCTGGGCCAAGTCCTATAAGAAATGTTCCTTCCAGCTGCCCCTTTACTCCCGGAGGATCCCGGGAACACTCTTGGCTGCTTTCTGGAGTCCCTGCTGGAGCAGCTCCCGAGCCCCCCCTCAACTGGTTGACCTGTGAGATCCCTCCAGGGTTCCTAGAGGCAACAGCTTTGGATACTAAGACCAGCCAATGGCAATAGACTGATGCCAGGGGACCTAGCGCTTCCCAGTGAATAGTATAGATTAATACTTTACCATTGGCCGGCCGTGGGGATGTGGGTTGCCTCTAGAAACCTTTAAGGAAAATAATATGCCTGCCACAGAGGCAGGGGTGGTGGGTGGGGATGGGATGGGGGTGGTGGGAGGGATACTGGGAACATTGGTGGTGGTGGAGAATGGGCACTGGTGGAGGGATGGATACTCGATCATTGTATGACTGAAACGTAAGCACTAAAGTTTGTAACTCTGTAACTGTACCTCACAGTGAGTCATTAAAATATATATATATATATATATATATATATATATATATATATATGTGTGTGTGTGTATATATGGAGACGTTACTGGGCCTGCTCGAGCAAATCGATGATCAACGGGAGGGCCTTTACTTTACTTACTTACTTTATATATACATATATATATATACATATATATATATAAATGTAATGCTACTGTTTAAAACAGAATAAAAAAGAAACCTTTAAGGAGAATAAGCTTTGTTTCTGTTTAGAGAGCTTAAAGACTCTGAATTTGTGATCCCTGAAGCAGTAAGTTGTCGCACAACCATTAATCTTCCCCTTGCCTCCCCGTACCATATGCCCTCATCCAACAAACACTGCGTTCCGCTTGCTGCTATATAAATCATTGCTTGCCCTGAATAAACTTGTCAATCGACCACTAATCGCTGACCTGTATCTGTTGTTTCCCAGTCAGTAGTTCATGTCTGTGTCTATGAACTATCACTCTTAGACCATGTTGGAATTGGCTCATCGCTCCCAGGTGACATGCACTGCCAGACAGTGACAGATGCTCACAGGTATCCAGAGGGAACGAGCTTGTCCCCCCACTTAAGTTCTCCTGGTCCTGAGATCCTGACATTCGGGACTCCTTCTGGAAACTGGGTGGTAGAGGCTGGCAGTGGTGTGGCACAGAGAGCTGAGGGTAAGGAAGCATGGGAGACTCTCCTCATACTCCACCTTCTTCTCTCTCTCCACTTCTCTTACTTTACCCATCAAAATGTGAGCCATTAAGTAACCCTTCCTTGCCATTCTTAGGACTCTATACTGTACAACATTTTAAACTGGAAAAGAGACCAAGTCATGTGTATACCTCAGCCCCTCTGGTAGCATGCCACGTGAGTTGGCATCACAAGCACCTTGGATGAGTAAGCCATCAACAAAAGCCCTGGCGCCACAGCATATGCTGTGCTGGGAAGGGGGGCATGGGTGCTGGGACACCCAGGGACCTGCTTCAGGATGAGTGGACCATGACAGCAGACAGGAGCCGGCACATGCAGTCCTCTGAGAACTCCTCATGGCCACCCAGATGCATTCTCTGGGAGCCAGCTGAGAGGAGCCCCTGCCTGGGACCCATCCCTGACCCCAAGTCACAGAGTCCAATCTACTGGCCACAAAGATTAATCAGAGAGAGAGGCCCTTTGGATCAAGGAACAATTACTTAGGGGCCCAAAGTGACCAAGTGCTGGGACAAGTCCAGCCGGTGGAAAGCATCAGGACTTGCACCAGGAGAAAAGGCGCAGTTGTCAACACCCTAGAGGCAGGTGTCCCCCACCCTCCCTGGGAGACATGCACCCCTCTGTACTCACTCAGGCCAGCCCTCAAATGTGGACACGGTGAAAAGTGCCATCATGGCAGACAGGACATTGTCAAAATTGAAGTCGCTGTTTTGCCAGATCCTCTCCCGGACCACAGGGTTATCAACATCCCCATCCTTGTAGAGGATGAAAAGGCCCCTGCAGAGGAAAACAAGAGAGGCTTGTCCCACCTCTCCTTGGCTCAGGCACAGACACCCTGTCCACCCCCTTGCCACGGTCATTCTCAGAGCCCGTGGGTCACAGCCTGAGCAGGTCCTGCCAGCTCTTCTTGGGTCCAGCATCCCCCCTCCCCTCAGCTCTGCCCTGCATTTGTTTTGCTTGTGCTTCAAAGACTCAGCCACTAAACTGGTCTGGAACACACTCCAGAGCAAGCAGGCAGATGCCCAATATATGTCTGTTAACAATTTAAAACTATAAGGTGGAGGCAGCTGTCATTTCAATTAGCTCAGTTCCACATGGACACATTCAAAGCTGTGGCCTTGGAGAATTCCAATGCTCTGGGAAATACTGTATTTCCCAGCATCATCATCACCACTGCGTTGTCACACACTGCTTCAAAATGTGGTTTATAATCTTTTTAAAAAGTTTCACAGAATGTGACAATGTGGTAAAATATGGTGTGCCCAGGAGAAACCCTCTAGTTTGTATCTGTCTTTTAATCAAATTGCTCTTTGCTTATTAGCAATATTCCAAATTTTGGTTCCCAAGAATGCTACAAATTCTGGCCCCCAGGATTTCTTATAGAATTTCATCTCTGCAAGGCACTGCATGTTTGAGCCTCTGGGGAAGACGCACTCTGCTGGCCCCTGTGTCATTCCCTGCATCCTGCAGGCTGGGCAGAGATGCCCCTGTTGGTGGGTACACAGCCACAACCAGACTATGGTGGGTGCCCTTGGACTCCAACAGCCACAGCCAGACTACAGCGGGTGCCCCTGACACCCCTCACTTGCAGAACCGAGTTAGCAACTGTTTTGGCAAGTGCCGTTGGAGAGCAGGAGCCGTGTGGCGGGGGGCGAGGGGGGTGCCCTGCAATCTCCTGGTTATTAGTCATGGATAGAAATAGGGCCCAAAAGCAGATGAGCGATGGGGCAGAGAACAGCAGGGGCTGGAAGAGGGTGAGCGACCCCTGAACACAGCGCTGAACTTCCGGGTCTAATTAAAGGAGAAACCACCCATGTGGATTTCGACAGAACTTTGCAGGAAGGGATTCCGTAATAGATGCTTTTAGGTTATAGGGCTTTCCCCCACCTCCAGCTTACAGATTAAACACCAAAAAAATCAAAAGCCTCACCCACTGTCTGGGGGGTAATAAAGACCTTTGGGGCCAGACAGAGGAGGCACTTGTAGGTGTGCAATTGTATAAAAATGCCACTGAACTCCACAGATTGCACTAGTACTTCATGTCACTTCCATGACAACAAAACCCCCTTCCTCAGTCCAGCCAGAGGCTGAGCACACACGCCCTCTTGGGCCCATGGTGAGCCCCCTGAAATGCCGGCATGCGCAAACCCTGGGGCTTTCCTCCTTGACCCTGAGGCCAACTCACGCATCCAGGAGGCTCACCTGCATTCCTCAGGGTTACTTTTGGCTTCATCCGTGCAGCGATAGAACTTTCCCTGGTGTGGAACAGATAGAGGTAAGCTTCTTCCCTTGCCCCCCACCGCGCTGCGCTGCCCCTTGGAACCAGCCAGGCTTTGGGACTCTGAGCATGAGGGTCGTTCATATACCTTGAACAGCTGGACCCCGATGCAGGCAAACATGAACTGGAGGAGGGTGGTGACGATCATGATGTTGCCGATCGTCCGGATGGCCACAAAGACGCACTGGACGACATGCTGGGGAGAAGGGCGGGGGAGGTGAATGGTCACAGTCTGGGGCTGAGGGGGAGCTAATACAAGTCAAGAATTTGGAACATTTTTATGTGATCTGTTTGATCCTGTGCTGCCTCAGTCTCTCAGATAGTGATTGGCTAGTGCCTCATGGCCTGGGAGTAGCACTCCACAAATAGACCCCTTCACCATTTCCTCTGAAAGTTTAGTCAGTGGAAAAGTAGGGACGCAGCAGGGTCTGGGCAAGAGGCTTATGGGCCCTCCTGTAAAACAGCTAAAGAAAATGCAAACACCCACCGCACCATGGTCATTTGGATCATCTGCATGACAAGAGATTTTAAAAGAAAAACAAATCAACTTAAAAATGCGATTAAAAAAAGAAAGTAATCTGAGTCAGAGAGATGCATGGATTCAGGTACGTTCCATGCACGTGGCTGACCCCCATTCAATCCGAGCGACCCCCAGCAGAATTAGGAGTAACCCCAGAGCACGGCCAGGTGTAGCCCACCCCAACCCAAAAGGTAATTAATGAACAGCAACCAAGTAAGTATCTTCAATGAACAAAACTCAAAAGCTGAGCAAAGCACCAACAGCAGTGTCTTTTGCAAAGCCATAACCCACTGTCCAATCTTCCAGGCTGTCACCCAGCTGTGGCCCAGCAGAGCCAGCTTATGGCAAGGCTGCCTGGAAGCCAGCTGCCCAGCCCGCAGATGCAGCATCCAAACCTTCAGTCCTTTGGCTCTGTTGATTGCCCGGAGCGGCCGCAAGACCCGGAGGACCCTCAGAATCTTCACCACGGAAATGGCACTGGATCTGAGGAAAAGAGGGGGGGTGAAAATAAGTATGACAGTGGGACTCAATCTTTAGAGGGTCTCTTTCTGGCTTTTTCTCTAATAACACGTGGAGCTGAGCTATCTCTGGGGGACCTTAACAGGGCCATGGGTCATTCCTCTCAGTGACACAGTAACTCCAAAGCCAGACCCACTGGCCTGTTGGGGCCTTGACTGCACCAACCTAGGCAGGAACCACCGTGCTGGAATTGCCTTTGTCTTTTTGGCCAGAGGGAAACTCTATGCAACACTTGGCTTTGAGGCTCCAGTTTTGGCTGTTAGGTTAGGAGAGCTGCTGTGATACTTTAGTGTATCTACCAACCAGGAGTCCTTTGTTTGAGAAAGAGAGGAGCAACAGTGAGTAGGGTGTTTGTGTTTGTCAGTGGCTGTCCTAGGTTCAATCCCTGGGACCCCATATGGTCTCCTGAGCATGGCCAGGAGTTATTCCTGAGCACAGAGTCAGGAGTAAACCCTGAACACCTCTGGGTGTGGCCCCCACACCAAAACACACATGTACACACACACAGAAATGATAAAAAGGGAGGCAACTGCAAACCAGCGTGGTGGGTGCAACAGCAACAGAGCTTGGGAAGCACCTTGGGGGTGTTGGGAAGGCTCCCTGTGAAGCTGAGTGCTACATGGGGGTGGCGAGGGGGCAGGTGGTTGGCTGGACAAAGAACAGCACACAGGAGGGCGCAGATGAGAATGCAGCTTGGGGAACACATATAGGGGTGGGGGGCACTGAACCCCTGAAGAGGGAGGTGCTGCTGCCAGTGGTGGATAGACATTAGAAACACACTGGTGTGTGTGTGTGTGTGTGTGTGTGTGTGTGTGTGCAGGGGATGCCTGCAGGGCTGCTTCTGCCACCCGGGGGCAGTGGGGGTGGGGAGGACTGACAGAGAAGGCCAGGGTCCTGAGCCCTCTGAGAGAGACAGCCTCCCTGCTTACCTCTGGCTGCCTGTGCTCTCTAAGGGGGTTATGGGTGGTCAGCGCCTCCTGCAGGCGGAGGGGCTCTGACACGCTCAGGAGCGTCTTCGCACAGACTCCTGGCTACGGTAGCTGGACTAGTCCCTAGAGGGACGTCATAACTACGAGAGATAGACAGTACCCCAGGGCCCTGGCTGGCAGATTGCTGAGAGTTAGAGAGGCCCACAAGAGGCAGCAGACAGACCCTAGGATCTAGGGACACCTTCAACAGTCAAGGTGAAAGGGCCCAGCAGCGCCACTGTATACTGTATCCTCATTCTTTTGGGGGGGGTGGAGGGTGGGGCCACACCTGGCAATGCTCAGGAGTTACTCCTGTCTCTGCACTCGGGAGTTACTCTGGGTGGTGCTCAGGGTATCATATTGGATGCTGGAAACGAAGCCCAGGTTGTCTGCATGCGAGACTAGTGCCCTCCCCACTGTACTATTGCTCCACCCCCACCCCTGGCCCCTTCCATTGAGGGGAGTGGAGCTCCTGAGAGGCCTTGGAGGACTCGGGCTGGAACCTGGCTTCCCTCCCCCTCATGGAGACAGTTTTTACCTTCTCTTAGAAACGGATGTCACAGAGAGTGAGAAGAGACACCCAAGGGAGCCACAGGCAGGAAATGAAAATGGGAAACCAAGCAGGAGCTGCCCAAGCTATCTGGCACAGGGGCAAACACAACTTTCCCGGAAACGAAACGTGATCACGCCTGGTCCATGTCTGAGTTCCTCATGTCAATCATCCTGACCAACAATCACCAACACAGACACACAGCAGAATACTCACTGGATCCCAAAGGAGACGAGAGACACCCCAACAACCAGCATGTCCAGCAAATTGAAGTAGTTCCGGCAGAAAGCCCCTTTGTGGAGGAAGGCGCCAAACGTTGTCATCTGCGGGAGAGCTGGGAGTGAATGACCTGCTCATCTTTCCAGGGGGCAAGAAACCTGGGCTCTCTCCAAAACCTTGAGGGAAACCTGACTTTCTTAACAGTGTCGATGAAGCCAGAGACATAAAGCACAAGGTTGAGAGAGAGTGTTTGTTTAAATGTGGATAAAGGGTGTCGGAGAGATGGTAGAGCAAATAGGGTGCTTGCCTTGCCTGTGGTGACCCTGCTACAATCCCTGTCACTACAAATGGTTCCCTGGATCCCACTAGGAATGTTCCCTGAACCCGCCGAGCCAGGAGTAAGCCCTGAGCACCTTTGAGTCGGACTCAAAAACAAAGATAAAGGGCAATGGATTTCTAATACATTGAAAAAAGGTGGAGATCATCTTTTCCCGGGGCAGGACTGTCACCTGCACCATTGTCCTGTGGGAACCTCGAGGCAAGGCTTTGAGGGGACTTTCATACCTGTCCTCATGGGTTCCCCAATTCCCAATCTCAGATCCAAACAAATATGTATGTGCCCATGGGAAACCCCAGGACAGGGGTAGGGTTCACACTGCCAGAACATCATGTCCAGCTGAACCCAATGAACAAGGACAAGGGGCTGAGCTGCATCTGGCCAAACTCAAGTTCCTGATCTGCTGGGAGACCCACTTGCCCCACAAGTGGGTCTTTACCAAGTTGAATGCAGATGAGTTTACTCTTATGGTGGCTGAAAACCGGCCCAGCTCAGACTATTGTGGGGCCAAACTGTTGAATGAATCCCTAACTGGGGACCGCTGGACAAATGGCAGGTCCTACATCCCTGAGAGCCTGTGTAGTTGTCGTTTCTGAGTCCCTGCTCCCCTCCCCTCCCCCACTTAATCATGATTCCTGTCTCCAAATTAGGACCAATAAAGAGATCAGCTTATGACAGCAATAACAAATCTCATTGTGAATCCATCGCTGGCATATCTCAAGGACAGCTTCTCTTTGCCTCGGGGCAGGTTCAGGTGGCCAGACTTATCAGGATGTCACTATTGCTCAGATAACCTGGCCTCCCCCTTCATTTTGTCCCACTGAACCCCAAAGAGAAACAACAGTTGCATCCCAGCCTTCCTGCGTCCATGAGTGGGCACTCACCAGAAGTGTTCACATTTTCCCAGGTGATCCTGAGGGGTTTTAGTATTTCATTAATTTATTAATTTTTATACTGCAGTGCTGGGGATCCAACCCAGGGCCTTGCATGGGTGGGGCACACACTCTCGCACTGAGTTGCATCCAGGGTCTGGTATCTTTACTCTGATTTGCTCGCTCTTCATCAGGCCTGGTGAGGCTAGAGATCTGGGTATACCTAGCACTCCACATGGTGCGTGCTATTGGCTAAAGAAAAGAGAGTTTACTGAGGAAGCTTCCTGGAGGAAACACAGCTAAGGTTAAAGAACTATTTCAATTAAAAAAAAAGAAAGAAAGAAAAGGTGGAGGGAGGCTCAGTTACAAGAGATGCAGAGTTAGGAAAAAATCATTCCAAGCTCTGCAACATTGCCAAAGCTTACTGCTCTTATCGCTTATAAAAATGGCAACTTCATATGGTGGAACCAAATCAGGGAACAGCCTTGCAGATCTCCTTAGCTCACTAGGGACCACCACTTCAGCCCACAGCTGCTTTGGGGATTTGCTGAGCCCTTATTGTTTTTAGTTTAATTTTCCAGTCTCTAAAATGAAGAACAACTTGAAAGACTTAAGTCATTGGAGCATGTAGCACTGTCTGTAGCACTGTCCTCCCGTTGTTCATCAATTTGCTCGAGCGGGCCCAGTAACATCTCCATTTTGAGACTGGTTGTTACTGTGTTTGGCATATCGAATATGTCATGGGTAGCTTGCCAGACTTTGCCACCTGGGCGAGATATTCTCGGTAGCTTGCCGGGCTCTCCAAGAAGGATGTGGGAATGGAACCCAGCTCGGCTGGGCCGGCCACGTGCAAGGCAAACGCCCTACCACTGTGCTATCACTCCAGCCCTTGCTATCGTGCATATACACTAAAATTAAAAAGTCATAATTAATTTTTTTCTTCCTTTTTTGGGGGGCCACACCCAGTGGTGTTCAGAGCTTACAATCCTGGCTATGGGCTCAGGAATCACTCCTGGTGGGGCTTAAGGGGGTCATAAAGGGTACCAGGGATTGTACCTGGGTTGGCTGCATGCAAAGCAAGTGCCTTACTTCTGTGTTATTACTCTGGCCCTTTTATTTTTCTTTTTAAGCAATCCTGTAACCTCATCTCCCATGACCCAAGAGTGTGTGTGCTCTCTTTTTCTCTCTCTAAATACACATATATGATATATATGTGTATATCTATATATCTTTCTCTCTATATAATCAGAGTGTTTATATAAGTATCAGAGTAAATGGAACCTTTCTCCATATGGTCTGAATAGGGAAAGTTACCAAAAATGAGAACCAATCAGCTGTTCTGGATCAAGCAGTGACCTGTGACTGTCCCTGCTCCAAGTAAGGGTGGTGTATCTCTCCTGGGCTGTATCTCTCCACCCACACATCACATCATCACTGGGACAATGTCTTGCTCTGAAGAGAACTGTCAGCCAAGCTCTCAAGTTCATTGATGCAAACATAGGAAACTAAACTTATAAGTTCAGAAGATTTTAATTTATTTAATGGTTTGGGGACTGTACCTGGGGGTGCTTGTGGCTCTTACTCCTGGGTCTATGCTGAGGGATCACTCCTGGTGGCTCAGGGGAACATATGGGTGCCAGGGATCAAACCTGGGTCAGTTGTGTGCCAGGCAAATGTCCTACTGGCTGTACTTTGGCTACAGGTCCGAGTCCCCAAAGGATTCAACAAAGTTGGTTTTGCATTGTGTGCATTAATCAAAAGAGAGAGAGAGACAGAGAGAGAAAAAGAGAGAGAGGAGGAGAGAGAGAGAAAGAGAGAGAGAAGAGAAAGAAATACACCCTTCTCTGGCAATGTTACAGCTTCACTGGAGAGAAGATTTTGTAAAGAGCCCAAGTTCCAGAGTAGCTATTTTACATAAAATGTGTTGTTTTCTTGCCCCTCCTCCCCCAACCTCCAGACTGCATACAAAAAACATCAAAATGGTTTATGGAAAATTGCAGCTAAAAGTCCTTCCTTCCCAACTTGTCTCTGCATTAAGAGATGATGGTCAGACAGTACCCACGGACACGGTGTACCGGGGCCCAAACCACTGAGCCAGTCTTGGGGGAACTGGTCGGGTGGTTTTGGGTTCTTCACTTCCCATCTTCTGTTTCTGCACACGGGACCATGAGCTCCTGGCCTGGCGGGTGGGGCCCTCACACTCAGTACTCAAACCGCATGCAGCAAGGGCGAGGAGCAACTGTGTACTCATGCATGGGCAGTACATTTAGCACACCGGGTGTGCTCCTGTCATCGATGCAAATGTAAGCCCATCCATTACAAAAGATAGACAGCATCTTTACACAGATATGCCCAACTATCTTGCAAATCCTGTTGCAAGAAAATAGTGTGTTACTATTTTAGGTCATTGAAAACTAAATTCAACCAGAGAAATGAGAAGCAGTGTCTTCCTTTCACAGGATAGGTGGTTTTCCTGATATGGATGTAAGGACAGGGGGAAGAGAGTTCACACCAATGGATGCATCTTATCAGCTGAAGCATTCCAGAGGAATATTAAAAAAGGAAAAAAATGTCATTTCCAATTACTGTTATGAAGCTAAAGTAGCTCCTACATGCATTCAAAGATTCACAAGAGCCAAAAATTTATTTTGAAAAGTTGAAAAGCTCAGGAAAAAAAAAATTCTTGGGTTAAAAAAAAAAGTGTAGTCTGATCACAGAAGAGAAAAACTAAAAATAGTCAAAAGCACTCCACTTTTGGCTGGTGCCACACGCAGGAGCAGGCCCCCTAAACACAGCTGGGAAACCTGTTACCTTCAAAAGGATCTCAAATGCAAAAGTACCCGTGAAGACATAATCTGCATAACCTAGCATCTGGAAGGTAAACAGAGAATGGCAATATTACTGCTACAGTGGTGTTGGAGTATGTGAGGGTCAAAGAAGAGCCATTACCTTTAACAGGATTTCAACAGTAAAGATGGCTGTGAAAGCATAGTCAAAGTAGCCCAGTATCTGTAAGGCACAACACGCAGCAATGAGACGGAGGCACCAGACACCCCCCACGGCCACATCTCACGCCCCAGGGTCATGTCCCCTCATGAACACTGGGAACTTTTCTCCCAGGATAAACCTCTGCTCCGAACTCAGTGTAGAGATCCTCAAAAGGCAGCTCATCTTTCGGACCCAAACGCAGACATCAGGGAACACTTACTTACCTCCTTTAAGCAATCATGCGGGCTCTCCCCATTTACATGTCTTATGCATACAGAGGCTCCTCTCTAAACACTTGGAACTGATTCTCATCACAGTGGACGGGTGGCCCCTGATAAGGTCTGTACACACACACACACACACACACACACACACACACACTTGGGATCTCTAGTTCTGGCTGCATGAAATACAGTGCCGTCCAGTGGAGTTTCAGATTAGTGGAGAGACATGAACTAAGATACTAATGGCAAGAGCCATGAAAAAAGCAATCCCATTCACAATTGTGCCCCAGAAAATCAAGTACCTCAGAATCAGCTTATCTAAGGAGGTAAAGGACCTCTACAAAGAAAACTAAAAAATGCTACTCCACAAAATAAAAGAGTGTATGAAGAAATGGAAACATATTCCCTGCTCATGGATAGGAAGAATTAACATTGTCAAAATGGCAATACTCTCCACGGCATTAGACAGATTCAATGCGATCCCTATAAGGATATTCATGAAATTCTTCAAAGAAATGGATCAAGCACTCCTAAAATTCATTTGGAACAACAAACTCCCACAAATAAATAAAGCAATTCTTGGGAAAAAGACGATGGGAGGCATCACCCTCCCTAACCTCAAACTCTACTACAAAGAGGTAACAATTAAAACAGCATGGTACTGGAATAAAGGCAGAGCCACAGACCAATGGAACAGGGTGGAGTATCCCTACATACAACCCCAAATGTATAAACATCTAATCTTTGATAAGGGAGCAAGAAATGTGAAGTGGAGCAAGGAAAGCCTCTTTAACAAATGGCGCTGGCGTAACTGGACAACCACATGAAAAAAAATGGGCTTAGACCTCGACTTAACACCATGCACAAAAGTCAGATCAAAATGGATTAAAGACCTCAACATCAAACCAGAATCCATTAGATACACTGAAGACAAGGTCAGCAAAACCCTCCACAATATTGAGGCTAACAGTATCTTCAAAGATGACATGCCACTGACCAACCAAGTGGAAACAGAGATAAACAAATGGGACTATATTAAACTAAGAAGCTTCTGCACCACAAAAGATACAGTGACCAAAATACAAAGACAATCTACAGAATGGAAAAGGATATTCACTCAATACCCATCTGATAAGGGGTTGATATAAAGGATATACAAAGCACTGGTTGAACTCCACAAGTACAAAATATCCAACCCCATCAAAAAATGGGGTATGAAATGAACAGAAACTTTGTCAAAGAAGAAATCTGAATGACTTAAAGGCACATGAGAAAATACTCTACATCACTAATCATCAGGGAGATGCAGATAAAAACAACAATGAAATATCATCTCATACCACAGAGACTGGCCCACATTCAAAAGAACAAAACCAACTGGTGTTGGTGCGAATGTGGGGAGAAAGGGACCCTCCTTCACTGCTGGTGGGAATGCTGACTGGTTCAGCCCTTTTGGAAAACAGTATGGACGATTCTCAAAAAATTAGAAATTGAGCTCCCACTTGACCCAGCAATACCACTCCTGGAAATATATCCCGGAGAGGCAAAAAAAGTATAGTCAAAATGACATCTGCACTTCTATGTTCATTGCTGCACTGTTCACAATAGCCAAAATCTAGAAAAACCCCGAGTGCTTTAGAACAGATGACTGAAACTTTGGTACATCTACACAATGGAATACTATGCCGCTCTTGGAAAAGATGAAGTCATGAAATTCACATATAAGTGGTTCTACATGGAAAGTATCATGCTAAGTGAAATGAGCCAGAAAGAGAGGGACAGACATCGAAAGACTGCACTCATCTGGGGAATATAAAGAAACAGAATAGGAGACGAACACCCAAGAATAGTTGAGATAAGTACCAAGAGGTCTGCTCCATGGCTTGGAAGCCAGCAGCAGATGCTGGGGGGAACGGCAGCTCAGATAGAGAAGAGAACACCAAGTAAAGGGTGTTTGGAGGACTCACTTGGGATGCAAGATATGTGCTGAAAGTAGACTATAGACCGAACACGGTGGCCACTCAATACCTCTATTGCAAGCCACAACACCCTAAAGGAAAGAGAAAGCAAAAGGAAATGCCCTGTCACAGAGGTGGGGAGGGTGTGGGTGATGAGGGGGGGGGGGGTAGGAGGGCTACTGGGTTCATTGGAGGTGAAGAATGGGCACTAGTGAAGGGATGGGTACTCGATCATTGTATAACTGAAACCCAAGTACAAAAGTTTTTAAGTTTACAACTGTACCTCATGGTGTTTCACTAATAAAAAAATAACAACAACAACAACAACAAAAGATACTAATGGCTTCAGGAGGAATCAGAATTGTCCACTGGATTGGCATTCTCCTGGCATCCCCTCAATACCTGCCCACTTAACCAGGAAGTCAACACCTTCCTCCATTGGTGGTCCAGCTGGCTTAGCCCAGCAGGAAGTGTCCCTCATCAGCTTCCTCCTGCCTGTTACTCAGCATCTCCCCCTACTCTCTCCCAAAGCTGGTTTTTCACCTCCCAATGCTGACTCAAAGAACAGGCTGCCTGGAAGCATCATTTCTGAGCTATCCTGTTAGTGTAGCTCAAACACCATCTCCTTGGTCTGGCGAGTCTTGCCAACTGACCTCTGCAGCAGACGCCACTTCTCATGAGAACCATGGGGCCAGCAAAAGCAGGCAGGTGGGCCAGCAGCCACAGGTCTGCCCACTCAACCAAGTAGTCCCAGAGAGACCCTTTGCCACAGAGACAGCTGCCGAGCTTTACCCACACCAAGAGGGACTTCTTTTGTGGCTGCCTCTGTTCGTGGCTGCTGTGGTCCACGGTGAAAGGAACAGAGCTCGAGGAGAACATGGAGACCACACCGGCCAATCCCCATCATGCAAGAGACAAGGAAGTTGGGACAACATGGGAGTAGGGGCAGGGCGATGCTCAGGTCCCATCCTCATCAGCTGACCACGAGCATAGCATGAGGGGCCTGTTCCCACTATGGAGTCTGCGCCCCAGGGAGCAGCCGTCAGCACTCTGCCAGTCAGATAGGCCTCAGCTCCAAAGGGCAGCTCTCTCCACCTGAAGGTAGCTTCTCAGTTTTCATTTCCCAAATAGGGTCCATTTCTCAGATGTTTGAATTCTGCTAGGGCTCTTTGGCACGTTTGTTCCTCAGGCCCTACATGGTATTTCCAGTATATTTCCAGGACTCACCCTACCTTCCCCCGCAAGGTCCCAGCAGTCCTATTTAGGGGGCAGCAACTCTCCCACGCTGCCCACCAGCCACTGAAGCAGCGGGGAGGGGGAGAGGCATACCAGCTCCTGAGCCCAGTATGTCAGTGTGTCTTTTCTGACTTGGACTCCGCTCTCTCTCCCATTGAGATCCCAGCTAAGGCAAATGAGTCCAGTCAGTTGTGAAGGAGCAAAAGGTCACACACTCACGGGCAGAAGTGGGACAGAAACAGTTGGGACTGGCAGCAGGGGAAAGGAGGACTTTAAGGGGGCTCAAGTTCTCGTCACATTAGATGAAAACTTCTGCTGTCCATCAGAGTCCACTGATAAGAACAGTGTTGTTATACTGACATATTTGTTAAGTGGGTGGGTCTTTTGGTAAGTGTCTTCACACACACAAATGCACACGCACAACTTCCATATTTTTTAAGCACTAACCACTTTCTTGGGGAAAGTGGAGGAAATTGACTCAAGGAGAAGTTATTATAATAATAATTTTAAAAATCTCATCAGCTCTTAATGTAAACAATGTCAACTTAAGTTGTTCTAGAGTTTAGCTACTTAAACTGCAGGTCACAACCTACATAACTATAGGTGAGTGTGGTTAAAAATAGATTTCTCTGTGATTTACTGTCAGTAAATGTTTGGTTTTTATACCTGTTTTTCAAACCTCTATAGAGGGGGGCTTGTGTAGAAGGTTCTCTGGTGAAAAGTGCCCAGGAATAGACAAAGTTGAAGGAGTCCTGCCTTAAATGAACTCCTGTCCCTGAGGGTCACACACACACTGTTCTCTATACCACCGACACCCACCCACTGCCCTTTTCCATGTGAGAATCTCACTTTTCTGATGGAACTCAAAGACTACAAACTCTGATCTATGTAATAGCTCAGAGACAGATGATATGTCCTCAGAAAGGCCTGTGGGCACAGAGAAGTGAGATCCTTGGCAGCTTTCCTGGGGGAAGCCCTTCCTCTCTGGCTTCCTCTTCACCTGCTCTGACCAGACCAGTCAGCTATATGAGGTTTGCTACTTCCGACCAAGAGTCTGGAAACAAGGCCCTGCCAGATACAGGGTTCCATGGCCCAAATCCCAGGGACACTAACTGGGCCTTAATTGCCTTAATCTTCAAAATTCCAAAAATCAGATGAACAGATAGAGGCCCCATGTGGATGAGGCTGAGATTCCTGATGGCTGGGCCCAGGGTGAGCCCCTGAGGCCCTGTGGGGAGGGGGTCTGGTGATCCTCTGGAATGGCTCCTGGCAGGACAGCCAGGCTGTCCACAGGCAACCCGACTTCTCTGCTGTCTCCACTGATTTAGCCGAGGTACCACGAGTGCCTGAGTCAGACCTAGCTGTCGAGGAAAGGAACTGCCCCTAAGGAGATACTCAACAGGAAACTCTCTCCTCTGAGTGCTGTGTCTCCTCAGCCACCGATCCCCCTCTACAACACACTTCCCCCCACCCCCCCAGCTTCTCCAGCTCTGGTCCCTCAGCCTCCCCGCTTGTCTTCCTCCTCAGAGAGGGAACGAGGAGCGCGGTGAGTGAGGCCCTGCGGTGTGAGGCTGACGACACTCAGGCTCCCCAGTAGGGGAAAGCCATGATGTTAGGATGCACCCACCAGGCAGAAACCCCAACCTAAGTGGAAATGGGAACTTGACTGGGGAGGGGAAGGGGACCAAGGGGCCTATGGCAGGGAATGAGGAGGAAGAGAAGCAGGGCCACTGATCTGTAAAAAGTGGCCATAGAGTATTGAAAATGAAGCTTAAGGATACGCAATGCAGCCCAAAGGCAATAGAAACGAAGAGCAGGAGAATTTAAGTCTTCAGTAGGAAGCTTGCCACAGGGACGGGGGGTGGGGGGATAAGTCAGGGCCAGGGACATGAAGGGGAAAGTGCCTGCCAGTGAGGCAGGCTGGGGCTCACAGGGAAACTGGAGACACTGGAGGCGGGAAGTGGACACTGGTAAAGGGATTGGTGTACGCCTGAAACTCAATGTACACAATTCAGTAGAGGAGTGTCCTGAGAGAACAAGCTGCTTTGAAAAACTTGACATGCAAAAGACCCTGGCATTTAATCCCAGTGGTTCCAGAGGGCGGGTACCCCATCCTGCCTTGCCTGCCTGTCCTTGCTCAGGGGCTTACAGTGTTCCGGAAGGAGTGGCTACGGATGGGGTCCTCGGCGGCCAGGGCAGCGCTGCTCAGCATGATGAAGACGAGGATGAGGTTGGTGAAGATGTGGTGGTTGATTAGCTTGTGGCAGCCCACACGAATCCTGGAGAGAAAGAAGGGAAGACACCGTATGCACACAGCCTCCAGCACCTGGGCCACACTGTAGGGATAGCTCGGGCAGAGGGCAGCTGTGCACAGCCCCACCCGGAAATCCCAGGTGGCCTCACCATTAGCTGCTCCACACCCGAGAGAGCTGAGCCCACTGGCCTGCCATGCCACTCTCTCCAGAAGGTGCTCCAGAGACCGCCCACGGATTCCTTAAATACAGATCATCATCCTTCGAAAGGAGACGCTATGGTGTATAAGGGAATTGTTTGGGGGGCAATACTATACTTTGGAGGAGCTGGAGGAGCTAATCTCTGCACAGAGGCTGTTCCCAAGATGCTCGGGGCCAGGATCAAAGTAGGGCCCAGTGTTCCTGCACGCAAAGCATGTGCTCCAGCGCCCCCCACCCATCTCCTAGCCCTGGAAGAACTTCTGGAAGCTGCTCTCCAAACTGGGTCTTTCTGAGAATGACTTGCTCCCACTCTCACCCTGCTCTGAAGGCATCTGAGATTTGGGGGGGGGGGAGTGTTTGCACAGTTCCCCACCAAGAGTGACAGCATCACCTCTGCAGGGTGTGAGACAGTCAGTGATGGAGTCTGCATCACTCTCCTGAGTGACCTGCACGAGCTGAGTCTGGAGCTGGCTCCCAATGCACCCGCATGAGATGTGGAAGTGGAATTGTTAAGAGGAAGAAGGCTCATCCTACACACGCATCTCACAAGTCCCTGACTCCACTGCGTGGGAGGACTGCACAGTGTCCTGTGGCCTCAGAAAGCCAGGCAGGACAGCCAGGCCCAGACTGGATGCCGGCTCCCAGGCCCTGACACGTGTCTGTCTGCTGCCCCTCAGGCAGGCTCCCCTCCACTGGGACATCTCACTCTAACATGGTGCAGTGTTTCCTTTTCTGTACGGGGTGAGGGAGGAGGCGAGGGCGCAGTTCCCAACTGGTTCTCAGGAGGCCCAATGAGAAATCTGTGGCAATGTTCTACTTAGCATCATCTGCCTTCAGAAACCCCACGAAGCTGACTCTTATCCCCACTGGCGAGTCCCAGCCAACTGGTGGTTGGTTGTGGTGGTTCAACACAAGAGCCCGAGGATACTCAGGCCCGCCTTGTGATGCCAGGAGGACTGCAGTTTCCCTGCTGGTGTTTGGGGCCTCCAGGGATGTATCTGGTGATGCTCAGACGACCCTGTGTGACAGGAACTGAATCTAGGTTGAGCATATGCCACTCACGCACCCTAACTGCTATCTCCCAGCCCAGACCACGCAAGGATTTTTTTTTGCACTATAGAATATATCTAGGTGTTCCTTTGAAAAGTTTTTTTTTTCCTTTTTCCCTTTCAAAACTGGATACACTTTGTATGACTCCCTGCTTCAAGCCCCCCTTTTGAATGCCGCTTAGTGCCAGGATGTGCCCCCAAGCAGGCCTGCAGCTGTGTCCAGGGGAGACTTTCTAAGTCAGTGCAGGCAAGAGAGCTCCAGCTGCAGGAGGGAATAAATGCATCCCTCAGATCTCAGTGAGCTGTTTCAGCAACACCAGTGGAATAGATAGTGTTCTCTCTCTCTCTCTCTCTCTCTCTCTCTCTCTCTCTCTCTCTCTCTCTCTCTCTCTCGACACCTCAACTCTTGGCAGTGATGACCTTGAGAGTATCATCAAATTTCTTGCAGGCCTGAGAGACCCCACCCCCTTGGTGTCTCCCGAGTTGTTTCACAAAGGTTATGTCCGACAGCCAAGAACTACCTGTGCCACTGAGAAACCTTCCTGGGTGTCATTCACTTCCCCCAAATCCCAGATGATTCTAAACCTAGAAACCACACGAGTAAATACATGTCTTCCTCTTGCAGAACTTGTAATCAATGGGTTCCTGGGGGCCCCCCTCCTCATTATATCATGTGCTGTGCTATTTTAATCAGCTGATCGCAGAGCTCTGAGTAGAACAGCTCCCACCAATGAAACACCACCAAGCCACTTTTGTCTTCTGCCAGGAAGTTCAGGATGGGACAAGAGGCAGCTACGTGGATCTCTGAAGGAGGACAATGCTAAGTAGAACTTGGCCAACAGAGGGTTTTATCAGACCAATAATTATGATAGGATCCATTGTGTGGAAAACTTTACTGGGGACAACCTACAGATCAGCAGAGCCACAGGTGCGTGCCAACCACGCAGCAGTACCTGGCCCGGCCCAGATGTCCCAGTGCCTGGGTCAGAGCCGGGAATGGTGTTTCTCCCAGAACTTGTCACCCCCTCAGCCTTGGCTTCAAGGGAGACAAGCAGAGAGGAACAAAAAGGATGAAGGCAAGGCTGTGGCCAAAGAGGATGTGTGTGTGTGTGTGTGCGCGTGCGCGCGCGCACATGCGTGTGCGTATGTGAGACGCATCCCTTCCCTTACTCCATCCCCTGACCCTCGAGCAACCTGCAGGGTGAGACGCATGAGAGTACAAAGGTGGATATTTACGGGTTGGTCTTGCTAAGAATGAAGAATGCGCTCCCTTCAGGAATGGGGGCGATCTTCTCCTTCATGTTCAACTCCGAGATCCTTCGAGGGCGGGGGCCAGCAGGAACCTCAGGTTCATCTTCTTCTTCCTCCTCTTCCTCTTCACCTACTTTAAATGACACTTTTATTTTTGTGTGTGTTGGGTGGGGGGTTGTTTATTAGTAAGGCATGAACTAAAGATGGCATCTAGGTTTGAAAGATGGTCACATGAAATGTGACTTAGATTTTCAGACCGAGTGAGAAGGGTCAGGGTGCTGGGCAGTGTGGGGAGTGAAGGAAGGAAGGAGGTCCCCAGAAGCTAAACACTTGAGCATGGGTAAAATACGGCAGCAGTCCTGCCACCCGCTGCTCACTGGGCTGGTTTGTCTCATGTGAAAAGCTGTGTTGCTGGTTCAAACCACACAAACTCAGTCTCAGGGAGCCCCTACTCCTCAGGTCTGCCGTCTTGGACAACAGGGACACAGACACGTGCAAAGATGCCCTGGAGCCTGATCTGGATAGCAGCAATGGCTGTTGCCCTCCAAGAGAGCAAGTGTGTGTGAGCGTCCTTCATGCTGGCCCCGTTCGTGCTTTCTCTCCCCACAGCCCGCAACTTGGGTGACACGAGCCGGCTGTGACCAAGAGAGAAAGCAGAACGAGCCAACCCATCAGGGATGGGACTCAGGGGCTCGATGACATCAGCAGCCTCAAGGACACTCTAGCTGGGCTGAGGGGCCAGCCTCGGTGGCTGAGTGCTCCCCTCTTGGTTCATGCGCCAGGGGTCCCACTCCCATACCCGGCACATCACAGGGTGGATAAGGGTCCTTGTCCTCATCTTCTTCTCGGTAGTCATCAATAGTCACCTAGGATGGCGGAGCAGGGCAGACTCTTAGTTCCACACATGTCAGAAATCCCCAAAGTGAAGAACCGACCCCACTGTCTAACATGGGGCAGGAAATTCTCTCCTAAGTGTGAGCTGTAGGTGACACATGGGAATGGAGAGAGGCTCTCTATGGTGATTCTGCTCATGTGCCCACCTTGGCTTCTCCTAGTTCTGTATGAGGGTTTCAGGTAACTGCATCTTGGGACCAGACTCCCCTGCTGGCCATGAGCATGCTGGTCTTGCTCATTCCACAGTGTCTGACACACAACTCCTACTCAGCATGTGTGTATGGACTCAATGAGCAGACAGATGAGTGAACAGTCCAGAACCAGTCTAAGTGGAGTGACGTTTCCCAGGATAGTGAGATGCCTCCTGGGGCAGGTGCCTACTGACAAGCCTCCACCCTGACTCTGCAGGAAGGAACCACTACAACAGGCTGGGTCTGACCATACGGTTCCAACAAACAAGGGGCAATAGTACCACTGGCAGGGGTTTGCATTGCATGTAGCTGAACCAGGTTCAATATTCAGCATCCCATATGGTCCCCAGAGACCCACCAGGAACGATCCCTGATCAGAGTCAGGAGTAAGCCTGAACACCATAGGTGTGGCCCCCAAAACAAAACAAACCAACCAACAAGCATAAAACCCCAAAAAGAAATGATAAAGGGATCCCAATATTAACCTCCTCCCTTCTCTGGTGAAATATAGCCTAACTATGCCAGCATCTACCACGGGGAGCTATACAGTGACCCAAAATATCACGTAGGCACTTTGGCAGTATGGACAAGCAGACATTTGTGGGGCAGAGTTGTGAAATCTTCTGGAGCCCAAAAGTGAAGAAGTGCTTCGGGGTACCTTGTTGTCGCTGTTGGCAATCTGGTTCACTTCGGGTTTGTTGTTCTTTTTGTTCTCCAGGCTCTCTTTCCTACAGCGGAAAGAGCACAAGAAGCCAAGGAGTCATATTACCATGTATAAAAATGCTTATCACGATTCTGAATCAACCATGGCTCCATGAAGGACAGAACTTAATCAGGAACATCACCAGCAGCAGGAATGGGGCACAGCCCATAGGTGGAGCGGCCTGCGCGTGGCGGCGAACTGGATTCGTTACACAGATCATCTTATTAAAATTCTCATCCAAGACCTAATCAATGTGGGATGCACCACTTGTTTTGTGACGCCGAAATTAACCACAGACATGCTCCAGGTGAGACATGTGACTCTCAGCTCTGAGGGAATGAGACCCAAGGGCCCACTTTGCCCCAGACTCCATCTTCCTTGGTCTGCCCCACGGGGCCACCCAGGTCCACTGCCAAGCCCTGTGGGGGTCACAGTGACCATGGACTCTGTATGTTTTGACCGACTAGGCCTCACCTAGAAGGGCTCCCCAGAAAAACACCTCAGGGAAAGGGGTTACCTGGCAATCTTTTTCCGTTCCTTTTCTTCAGCTTCCTCTTTCTGAGCCGTGTTCAAACTTTCAGCATCAGCCAAATTGTCCACAGCAATGGCCAAGAAGACATTCAGCAGAATATCTAGTTTTGACATTTTAAGGATATAACACATCCAGGAAGGTAACAAGAGCTGCTTGGCCATGCAGCACCACCCCATACCTCACCCCCCCACTCCCCATGTGCTGTGCAAAGCTGGAAGCAGGCGACCAGACTCTTGGCTACACTCTTGGTAAAGACAGCACCTGTACTACATCATCCGGGGAAAGAATGCTGTGTCCTCCAAAACTAATAATCACAGGAGATGATCCGAAAAGAGATTAAGTTTAGATTCTCTAAAACCCACTCCACCTATGAACATCGGTCCTTCCTTTCATGTGTCTGTGGGTGCACCTACACATTTAGGTAGCTGGAGCAATACTACACCCTGCCTAAAACAACCTATCAGAAACACAGTGATTTTTTTTTAAATGTAGGAGCACTGCTATTTATTCAGCCATTGATTAAGCTGATTGAATTGGGCATGAACTCCACATTACTTTTTCAAATTAAATTTTATAAGTTAGTTCACAATGTTTGATTACATTCAATATTCAAACACCAATCCCACCACCATTACAGCTTCCCACCACTAAATTCAGGATGTTTCCATCCCAAACCCCAATCCCTGTCCCAAAACACAACCAAAATAATTTATTTCATAATGTTTTTATGGAGAACTGATGAACATGCTTACAAAAAAGTGTTCATATAGGAATCAGTGTGAAGACTGTTCTATTTTGGCAGGAACCATTAAGACATTTTATAGGATATTACTAACATGTTTTGAAAGTTTGGATGATGTGAGCTTTGGTGTATATATATATATGTATATATATGAGAATATGTATATATATGTGTGTATATATATTTCCCTCTATCATTTGTTGCCCATCAAATGTGGTGTGTAATTATAGAGAATGGGTAGGGAGTGTTTTATGATGGAAACACAGTGACTTTTAAAGGACTTTGACCTTTTGCTTTACGCATTTGTGTCTTTTCAAACACACATGCACACCCACATAAATAAATACCAAGTTATAAATCTTCAGGATCCTATTACACAGGATGGCTGCAAAATCTTCATCCAAAAGGCCAGCAGGGTCCATGGACACGCCCTTCATTCATTCACCAGAACCCCGGCCCCCCCCACCTCCCAACATACACATACACACACACACACACACACACACACACATTCACAAACTCTGACAGCAGCAGGCCTGTGTGCTGCCGCAGGACCAGACTCCTCCTATGTGTGGACACCTTTGTGGCCCCGGCTCTGTCTCTGCCAGCTGCATCTGACATCTGCATACAGAAAGACTAAGGGGACTGAGTAAATCATCGGTTTTCTGATTTCTGCCATCACACTTTGCATGGTCTCCGTGAATAGTATAGAGAGTTCTGAACAAGGCTCCCAAGTCAGAGGATGGCTGTTTTCCAATCTGCGAGCAGGGAAGTATGTGCGTGAGAAGCCCAAGAACCAGAGGGCAGTAAGTCAAGTAAGTCATCCTCTGACTGAGGCTCCTGTCTGCTGAGGCAGCCGCATACAAGGTTCCAGGAGCTGGTGGGACCAGGGACAGGAGGGGTATCACAGGTCCAATTGCCGAGTGCAATCTGAAGCCTCAGGCATGTTCCTGAACATGTTCGTGACCTCACATGTTCGTGACCTCACCAGGGTGAGATGATTCAAGAGCTTCTGGGGGATGCACGAATCCATTCAAGGCTTCAGAGAGGACACGAGTGAATCAGTGAATCATTTCCATTCTCAATATACAAACAAAACAAACAAACAAACTGCCCTCCCGTTGTTCATAGATTTGCTCGAGCGGGCTCAGTAACGTCTCCATTGTGAGACTTCTTGTTACTGTGTTTGGCATATTGAATACTCTTGGTAGTTTGCCAGGCTCTCCAAGAGGGGCGGAGGAATCGAACCCGGCTCGGCCAGGCTGGCTGCGCGCAAGGCAAATGCCCTACCGCTGTGCTACAGTAAACATTGTTTTATATATATATATATATATATATATATATATATATATATATATATATTTGTTTTGGGCCCAACCCAGCAGTGGGGCTGGAGCGATAGCACAGTGGGTAGGGTGTTTGCCTTACACGCAGCCAACATGGCCCACCCGAGTTTGATTCCTCCGCCCCTCTCGGAGAGCCCGGCAAGCTACCTAGAGTATCTTGCCTGCACGGCAAAAGCGTGGCAAGCTACCCGTGACGTATTCGATATGCCAAAAACAGTAACAGCAAGTCTCACAATTTGTTGTGAGACATTACTGGTGCCCGCTTGAGCAAATTGATGAACAATGGGAGGACAGTGACAGTGACGAAGACCCAACAGTGCTCAGGGGTTACTCCTGGCTCTGCACCCAGAGATCACTCCTGACAGTGCTCAGGGGGCCAAAAGGGATGCCCGGAGGTTGAACCAGGGTTGGCCACATACAAGGCAAGCACCCAACTTCAATGTATTATTGTTTTTGCCCCATGCTAAATATTTTTTTAAACAGAGCCTCAGTAGGCCTGGGGAAGTGATCTATCTTGAGTTGAATGGCCAGGGTAATGTAAGCAGGGGTCTCACAGATATAGGGCACAGTGACTCAGCTAGGGACCAGTGTGGGACCAGCTGTGCTCACCACAGATGAGGTCAACAAAGAAGGAACACATCTCCAGACTTGCAATGATGTTCAACTCTTATGGCCTTTTAAACAGGGTAGGCTCTGAATTTATTAAAAAAAAAAAAAGATCTGCAAAGCATTCTCCGTGTGCTGGACACTCAGCTGGCCTGGGGTCATGAGAGGAAACACGACTGAAAGGAGTTCAGCTCCCAGGGTCCACCCAAGCGAGCTGGAGGGCAGAGAATGTCCACGAAGCATTTTGGATAGATATGTGTGCCTGGAAGAAAATAGCATGTGGCCAAGTAGAGTGGCCAAGGAATAGGTCTCTGAAGACTATAGGCTGGTCTATCGCTGTGATTCGAAGACTTAGTCATGAGGAGAGCAGAAAGAAAATGCTCATCAATCATCTAACCATGAGTCCATGCAAAACCCTGCAGTCTGAGCCATGAGGGTCATACATATAAAAAAAGTTGTCCTCTATCAGGGGTACAGAGAAGGACCCCATAGGTGGTGAGAGGCTTGCAGGATCAGAAGTGGGTGGGCAGGGATTAGCAGAAGGGGTTCCGTGCGGGTGGATGTGGGAACACAGCAGTGCTTGGCATCATTTCTCTGAGTTGAGACAGATATTTCCAGAGAATGCATCAAAACACAAAATACTCTCCTTATGGGGAACCCTAGAAATTTCCACTGAAGAAAACTCATTAATACACCAGACACTGGGGAAAAACAGTGAGAGGGATCTGGGCCTTCTTAGGACAGGAATTCAGACTGGTTTTTTTTTTCCCCATGGGAAAGGTGAAGGCCATGAGGTGGATCTCAGGACATGCCTTGTGCAAGACAAGGAGGGCACAAAACGAAAACAGACACTGGCAGAGGCTCCAGGGGTTACAAAGGTTGGGTTGAGGGCAAGAGAGGTGATGATCTAGGATTAGGAATAAATTGTGTTGGAGGAAAATGTCATTCTTGCACTTTTAGCCACCAGTGGTCCCATAACCAACTGATGTATTAAATATCAAAGCAATATCAGGGCACTTGAGTGGGTCCAGTGTCAGTGGGGTCCCATCAGTTATGAAAGTTTTTCAGAAGCTTTAGAGGCACCTTGAACTGGCCTAGAGAATAGCCTGGCTTTGCCCTCAGACGTCCCCCTGGCGCTGGGCAGCTAATGGATGGTCTCACACACTCACCCTGCCCTCTGTTTGGCCCAGGAGCTGACTAGGAACCCCATTTCCACTCGGGGCCCCCAGCGGCAATGAAGACAAGCAGAGAGAATAAGGTCGGGGACCCCTTCCCACAAGTGCCACCACCAGTTTTCAAGTCACGGAGGAGAAACGAGCTAAATGAGGTGAACCCCGAAGGCCCAGCCAGCGTGAAGGATACAATTCCCGCAGATGAAGAGGATGATGAAGTAGATACAGACGATCATTCCCGAAGATGACGGTCCCCCGTAGGCCATGATGCCATCGTACATCACAGCGTTCCAGTCTTCACCTGTTAGAATCTGAGATGCCCAAACCCAGGGTCAGCATCAGAGAGCTCACGAGCCCTGCCATGCCCCAGAGCTCTGCAAGCAGCAGCCCAGCTCTGGCTGTAGCTGCCTCTCACAGTCCAGTCTGCACAGGATAAATCTACCTGTTCCTCCCAATTTCCAAAGCATGCTTCTGAATGACAGAGACGTGAGCTAATTCTTTTCATTTGTTTTGGAGCCACACCTAGGGATACTCAGGGGGTTACTCCTGGCTCTGTGCTCAGGAATTACTCCTTGGGAATTTTCCTGACAGTCTTGAAGAACCATACATGATGCTGGGGATAGAACCCAGGATAAAACCCGGATCGGCTGTGTGCAAGGTTGTACTATAGTTCCGGCCCTTCTGTAAGCTAATTCTTTCCATGAAGAGAAAGTAGCACCACAGACGTACTTAGTCTCGACTATATCCTCAACTCCGTTTTAGCTCCCTCCCCAGGAAGCATGCACGTGGCACCCCTCTGATCAGGCCTTATCTGTGCATTTGAACCCATGACCCAAGAAAGCAGTCAAGTGAGGACCTCTTGGATTTATTAGTTATAAAGGCTATAGCATTTTCTGCAATTCACTCCCCGCCCTCCTTAATCACGTGCCCTGGAGACTCTCTGGCAGCAGGTCCACCTCATCCTTTATGACTGTTGCCTAGCGTGCCACATAACTGGAAATGGAGACTCGTACCCAGGATGTTCTAGAAGCAGGAAACCCCAAATATTTATAAACTATGAGTAATACTCAACATATTCCAAATATTTATAGACTATGAGTAAGTCCTCATAACTATGTGAAGTTTCAAATTTAATTCCTAGTGATGGTAGGTAATAACACAATCCATTGTGGAATGATTTACTGTCCACAGATGAATGTGGACAGTAAATTTAAATAGAGAAAGAGAGAGAGAGAGAGAGAAGAGGAGAGGAGAGAAATAAAGGGCAAGGACTCCAATCTAGATCATTTACATAATAACATAAAAATGGCCCTGAATCAGTTTTAATGCTTTTAAATGAAAATATAAGCAAAATTTCAAACATATGGGAAAAGAAGGGCAAAAGATTTGAAACAATAAGCAACGACATAAAAAGAAGTATGCTTAGCTCTTAACCACATGAAAAGGCATTCAGCTTCCCTTCTGGAAAGAGAAATATGGCCTCACCCACAGGCTACCCTCTTGTATGTGTACTTCCATACTCTCCCACTTTAATGCCGGGATGTGTGCCGATTCTGTGTCCACTCTGGAGAAGCCCATATTTTCTCTTGAGCATGTATCTTACCTACCTCTCTCCTTACCTCCCTTTATTTCCCAATAAACTTGTTATAGTTCCAAAAACATAAGAGCTTTGATTTACACATTATGTCAACACCACACCGCTTCCCTCCGCCAATGTTCCAGGGTCCACTGATTTCTATCTGAGCAGGTGTATTTCCAACACACACAAAAAAATGCCTGAGGACAGGTACCTCCCAGGAGATTGGGTATGAGGGAGGCTTGTTGGCCATTGTGTGTCTGTTGATAACATGTGGATTTTGTGTCATTTACATGTGACAACAACGGTTAGCACCACACAGGTGCTAATGGTTGAAAGAAAGCAGGAGTGTGTGTGTGTGTGTGTGTGTGTGTGTGTGTGTGTGTGTGTGTGTGGGAGGTAGGGAAGGAGAACAATGAATCAAGAGTCAAAACTGAAATGAACATGTCAAAGCCAGAGCCCACAGCAGTGACTGTCATTCTGCGCACCCCAAACTGACCATGTGGAAAAGGAAATCTGAACTCACCCTCCAGGTCTCACCATCTCAGAAAAGACGTTCCACAGGCCAGAGGGTCAAGCAGCAGCGCCAGGGCTGGGGACTTCACTAACCCATGAGGCAGGGCTGGGCGCTTCTCGGCCTCATGTGGACCTGAGCCACCAGCAGTGGGGGGCTGCAGGCTCACTCCACTGAGGGCTTCTGCTCAGCCCCTTGGCAAGAGGACAGCTGCACCCTGAGCACCAGGCCCCAGAGCACATCGGACACTATTGCTCCATCTCAGACCCACACCCACAAAGGCCTGCACAGTCTGTGTCCTCGTCATGCCACAGAGGGAGGAGAAAAACAAGGCAGAAAGTCACCACAGCTCTTGTTACCCTAAGGCTTCTGACTACCCCCCACAAAGCCTGCAGGCTTTCGGGACCGAACATCTGCACCTTCTCTCCACCAGGGCTACAAGAGGCGCCTGAGGAAAGAAACTAACCAAGAACAAGAAGAGGGTTCTGGAAGCTGTCCTGAAAACCTTAGGAACTTCACAAAAATCACAGCAGAAGCTTTGGGTCTATTTTTTTTCTTTTCTTTTTGGGTCACACCTGGTGATGCACAGGAGTTACTCCTGGCTCTGCATGGGGGACCATATGTGATGCTGGGAATCGAACCTGGTCGGCCACATGCAAGAGAAACACCCTACCAGCTGTGCTATAGCTCCAGCCCCAGCTTTGGGTCTATTATGCAAAACTGTACCCCGCTGTTTTAAAAAAAATAATAAAACCCACAAAACACTGACATCTGGAGGAAGATGCAAAAGAAATGACTTAAATGGGGCACAAAGCTGACCAGCAGCACATGGTCAGGGCCGCGGTGACCGATTAATAAGAAAGTGATTGTTGCATCTGATGGAGGTGGAGTGCTCACCCCATAACATCCCACCTCCTCTTCTCCCGGAAAGGCCGGCGGGGGCGACAGGGGACAGGGAGGGGGCTCACCTGGAAAACGGTGAGAAGTGCTTGCGGGAAGTTGTCGAACGTGCTCCGCTTGGTTTGCGTTTCGTCAAAATTAAACTTGCCTCCAAACAGCTGCATCCCCAGCAAGGAGAAGATGATGATGAACAGGAAGAGCAGCAGCAGCAGCGAAGCGATAGACTTCATGGAGTTCAGTAAGGACGCCACCAAATTGCTCAGCGAGGTCCAGTGCCTGCAAGTGAAGGTGAGGCCGTGAGCCCCACGTGCCCTGAGCGAGGCTGTCCACCGCGGAGCCCAGGCGATGCCGGCAGTGAGCAGCGCCCTCACCTGGTCACTTTGAAGATCCGCAGGAGGCGCACACAGCGGAACACGGAGATGCCCAGGGGAGACATGAATTCCAGCTCCACCAAAATGGTCTCGGTGATGCCGCCACACACCACGAAGCAATCGAAGCGGTTGAAGAGAGACACAAAATAGGCCTGCAGACCCAAGCTGTACATTTTCACCAGCATCTCGCAGGTGAAAAGGGCCAAGAGGACTTTGTTTGCAATATCTGGGGAGACGAAAGGAGGCACAGCTTCAGGATCTCATCCCGGGGGCGTTCCCAGAGCCCCCTGCTCTTCTCCTGCCGTGCTGCCCTCCTATGCACCTGCACCCCTCTGTGTCCCATTGCCACCAACGGGTGTGCCCTGCTTGTCTGCCAAGCTCAAGTCCTGCTTCTGTGAGCCCCGTGGTTTGTGACACTAGGGAGCTCCCTGGATTTCTTGGGATTATCAGGCAGAAAGTGGTGCCTTGACACACATCTCCAGCCCCCCAAGCCTATGAGTTTATTGTTTTTTTTAATGACAACATTTATTATTAGGAAAATGCAAGTCAACATTCTGACTGTGGAAATGAGGGGGAGGGAGGGTTTGGGAGGGACACTGGATAATCTACTTAATTCAACTGGTTTTTTAAAATTGCCCTTCAAAAAGGGAGAGCCTGCCAAAACAGGTCATGGAAACAAGCCTACAAGTTTGCATGTAGGGTATATTTTCTTGTTTGTTTCAATCACAGGTTAAAAAAAAAAGACCCACTGGACCTTGCTAACAGTACCAGGATTTAAGAGCAGTTGCAGAGAATGGAGAGATAGTACTGTGGGTAAGATGATTGCCTTACATGTGGTCAACCCTGAATTAATTCCTGGCACCCCATAGGGTCCCCCAAGCCCTGCCAGGAGTAACCCCTGAGTAAAGAGCCAGGAGTTAGCATTGAGCACTGACAGGTGTGGTCCCAAAAACAAACAAACAAACAACAACAACAACAACAAAACCCCCCAAAAACAACAAAACCACCAATCTCTTATCCATGCCTCGTTTCATGGCAGGAATTGCCACCCAGCAAGCTGGAGAAGGACACGGGGTCAGGCTGGACTGGATGTAGGAAGGACTTCTCAGGGGCACACATGTCAAACTCAGAGCAGGCACAGTGTGGGGAACACTTCTGGGAACTCATAGCCACCTGCCAAGAATGCTGGAAGGAGCACAACTTCCTGAGGGCACTAGGGGAAAGGAAACTGACTCCAGGGTTCCCTGAGTCAAGGCTGTCCCAGGCTCAGGACAAGCAAGAGAGGTCTGGCTTGGTCACTGCCCGGCATAGACTGTACCCCGTGACAGTGCACCCCATGTTGGCACACTTCTCCTGTCCTCTATGTTCATGCTGCCAAGAAGTGCGCCTGTACCACCTGAGTGCACACCACTCAGGGAACACTAAAACTGCAGCCATTTCAGAACAGAGACCCTGGCACTGCCTGTACCTTGAATCTGTGTCAACCAGTCAGGCTGGTTGTAGTGCTCGGATGAGATGGTTAATGTGTTGAGAAACACCAGGACGATAACCAGCCAGTAAAACGTGACCGACTTCACAGCAGCCCTGCATCGTCTGCGATTAAATCGGTTCCAGCGTCGCCAGCGTCGGCTGAAAGAGAAGCAGCTGTTAGTCCCCACGTGCATGTGGACACTGCATGTCTGAAAAACACTCCTACAAAGAGACTTGGAGATCTGGGAAGGCCTGGTGTGTGTGTGTGTGTGTGTGTGTGTGTGTGTGTGTGTGTGTGTGTGTGTGTGTGTGTAGGGTACAGGAAGGAAAGGTGCTTGCCAGCGCCTGAGCAGTCCTCCTAAACAAGCCTGGTCTTAAAATACAGCTTCTACAAGTATTGTCTTGGCTGGCTCATGTTATCAATTTCCTTCCTATAATTCGAGGTATCTCGGGAATCTGTCACCCGCCATCCTCATGCTGCTTAGATCTATAGATATTCAGAGCTTCATGTGCAAATGCAAAGCGGCACTTGCACGCAGCTGCATCTCCCATTCCCGCCAGATGGTTCGAGGATCTGCCGCGCAGTGGCAGGCACAGAGAGTCACTTAGCTTATCAGGCACATCTCGCGTGGCACCTCAACCAGCCCACACAATTAACCGGCAGCCAAGTGCTCCCAAACCACAGTTCTCCTCTTAGGGAAACTTTCCATCCTCAACAATTCGTGACTCTCCAGAGTTCTTGGATCGGACAGAGCCGTCCGTGCTGGGCAGGACATGAGTCTTCAATCTGAATCATCTGCTGCCCTTTCTAGTGAGGGAGGCTCAAAACACACCTTTAAGAGGAGGAGAGCCAAGATTGATGCATGTTTTCGTACAAATAGACTGAGCTGAGCCCAACAGGCAGGAGTGGGTCCCCTTTCTGCTTTCAGTTCCTGTTTGTAACTAGGAAACATGTTCTCTCCCTGAGCCCGTCTCCCTGGGGGAAGCCTCCTGGCCACAGGCTGGTTTGGTGGAGCAGAGGGTGGGTAAGGGCCTGTGGCCACCCTGGTTGCAGCTGGCCACCTGCCTCTTGCTGACAGAGAAGAGGACACTTCCCCTAGGGGCCTGAGTCAAGGAAGCGTCAGCTGCAGCTCTGACTGAATCAGCAGCGTTGGCTCTACGAAAATAAAACAAAATAGTCACCCAGTGGGTAGGCAAAGAAAGGGCTGTGTCAACAATTCAGTAAGACCTGGAACAAGAAGATGCATTTTGCGGGTGCACCGGCTATGTGATTTCTGAGGGTAAGAACCGCTAGATGGAACGTGATGGCAGGCAAAGAAAAATTCTAGAGAGCAGGGGCTGGGGCCATAGCACAGTGGCTAGGGCAGTTACTTTGTGCACAGCTGACCTGGGTTCAATCTCCAGCATCCCATACAGTCCCCTGAGCTGTGCAAGGAGCGATTTCTGAGTTCAGAACCAAGAGTAAGTCCTGAGCATAGTTGGGTGTAACCCCAAAATCAAAACCAAAGGAAAACAAAAATAAAATCCTCAGGAACACTCCAGGTTGCCATCCTTAAGGCTGGTTTTTCTTTGCACAAAGACAAAGATGGCTGAGTAAGGTCAGTCTTGCTCAGCCTGTTTATACTGCAGACAAGTTACAAGTGTCTTCTCAGTCCAGGAGCGCTCATGGCCACTGGCCCTGAAGTCACCTCCCTGGGGCTCAAGAGGAATTGAAGAGCCCCTTCGGCCAGATCCTTTCCTTTAAGATACCAGGGTGGTTCTCAGCCCTGGCCAAGGCCAGTTACTGGGTATATGAAGATGCCAGTAGCAATGTCCCCAGGCCCATGTCTCTGCAAAGCCTGTAGGGTTGCAGCCAATCACATCACCCACACCTAGAGCTCTTGCCAGGATAACAAGGAGCAAAGGGAAGAGCAATACATACTCTTTGAAAGAGTGAGGGGGGCATTTTCTCCAAAGAGTTGAGCCTTGGGAAGAATCTGGACAGTTGAGTGAGAGTTGGGGGGGATGGGGAGAGGTTCAGAAGTAGGAAAGGCCAGTGCTGTGTGGTGCTTCTGAGAAACTCAGACAGCCCAGAACAGCTTCAAAGTGGGGAGGAGGATCACAAGATAAGGCCAGTCAATCTCGATAAAAGTAAACATGTTAAAAGAAAAAAAGAGGAGAGAGGATAGGCCTCGGGCCACATTATGACTTCCAGTGCCCCATGGCTCTGGGGAGCCATAGAGGGGCTTTGGTTTTCCCCTTTAAAGTCAGTTTGACAGAGGAACAACTGCCATACAGTGAGGCCACTGCTTTGGGGGCAGAGTTTGCAAGACCTCCATGGTCAAGACAGAGACAGTCTCCATCAGTTATGGAGCTCTGTGTTAATCCACTGCCCTCACACATCCCCCAGTAACTTGGATGGTCTTCCTGTCCTTGCTGCTGGGCCTGATCCCAAATATTCTACAAACAAATTCATGCCACACACTCTCTCTGATACCGCTTTATTTTACTCTGATATGGATACTTTTCAGGTCTATCCATGAAGTTTTATCTATTGATATTTTTTCTTTCATATTTTTCTGGGTATTGTTTCATCTTAATGGTAAACTATAATATATCTACAATACACCATTGGAATTATTTCTAGTTTGTTATCGTAAATACACATACACGTTTGTGTAAAAGAAACTTGGGCAAGCCCATCTCTTCATCTTTCTTCTATAAACTTTACATCAGAAGTGGTGGGCCAGAGTGTAAATACAGGTTTAACTTTCCAAGTAACTGCCCCATGATTTTTTTCAAGGTTCTGTATTGTTATAAATAGTGGTATCTGGGGGTACAGTATTGCCCAGCAGGTCAGCAGCAGCCTGATGGTGCCTTCAGGCTTCCTGATAACCTAAAATTGCTTCTGTGCCTCTGGTCAGACCCCAATAACTTGGGACCAAGTTTCCTGGTTAAATGGCCAAAAGTTAGGTATGTAGGAGTCATGCCCACAAACTACCTCTGGCTTAGCTCTATAATCTCATTTATCAGCCTTGCTTCAGACCATAAATACATCTCAAAAGAGATCAAAATTAAGCCATTTAAGTGCATTAGTGACCACGATTCAGAGATCCACAAATGAATCTCAGAAGAGAGCAGTATGCTGCAGAGATGTCTCCCCACCCGCGCTAGGCTGATTTTACCATGGTACATCGGAGAGGGGCAGGTGTGTCCGTCTGCCTGGCCCAAATGAACCCCGGAAGCAACAAACCTCCAGAACCCAATTGCCACCACACTCACGGCTGACCTTCACAGGCTTGTCTTTAGCTACCTGCATGAGAATGAATGCACTAAAACAAAACAAAACAAAACAAAACAACCCAGGTATGCGGGATCTGTGACTAAAAACTCAAGGCTTCAAGGAGTTGGGGATGGGCAACCTCCCCCCATCTCCCTACCTTTTCAATTTCCTGGCAGTTACTGGGAACTGTCTCTGGGGGCCATTTAAACCCATTAACAGTCATGACTCAGAGACTCACAAGTGAATCTCGGAAGAGAGCAGCATGCCGCAGAGATGCCTCTGGACCCCAAATATTTAAAAAAATTAGAATTCCAGGAATGTTGAGCCACTTTCATGACTGCACAACATCGCAAACAATCCACAACAAGCAATGCAAAATAAATTATTTAGCATCTTCCTATGGGGCAGGCTTGGGTAGTGGTGAAAAAGTTCAAAATAACGGTGATGGGAAAGTGTAATGGTGGTGCGATTGGTGTTGAAATGTTGAATGTTAACAATTATTGTGAAGAACTTTATGAAAATAAAGTTAAAAAATTTAAAAAAGATAATATAGAGTTCATGCCTGCTTCGGTCAGCTTAATCAGTGGCTGAACAGCAGTACTCCTATATTAAACCGCACTGTAGCACTGTCCTCCTGTTGTTCATCGATTTTCTCGAGCAGGTACCAGTAATGTCTCCACTGTGAGATTTGTTACAGTTTTTGGCATATAAAATATGTCACAGGTAGTTTGCCAGGCTTTGCTGTGCAGGCAGAATACTCTTGGTAGCTTGCTGGGCTCTCCAAGAGGGGCAGGAATCTAACCCAGGTCAGCCACATGAAAGGCAAATCCCTACCTGCTATGCTATCGCTCCGGCCCACATTTAAAAAAAATAAAAAGAAAAAGAAATAGTGATAGAATGCTCACTGATCTGCATCCTTGCCAAAAGTTGGGATGTACTTGATTTTTCAATGTGATCCACTCTCTGAGGGATGCTGTGACCTCTTACTGTGAGATCAACTGCATTTTCCTAATGTGTGTCACGTGCTGCTCTGTCAGCCATGGTTCTTTTTTTTATTGAATTGTCACGAGATAGAGCATGACAAAACTGATTGCATTTCATGATTGCATTTCAGTCATACAATGTTCATCACCCATCCCTCCACGAGTGTCACTTCTCAGCACCAATGTCCCCAGGTTCCCTCCCATCTTTTCCAACCACCCCCCACCCCAGCCTGCCTCTCTGGTAGGCACCCCTCTTCTCTCTCTCTCTCTCCTTTTAGGCATTATGGTTTGCATTACAGATGCTGAATGGCTATTATCTCTATCCCTTTACCTTCTTCCAACACTTAGTTCTAGTCCAGAGTGATCATTTCTATTGTCATAATGGATTGTCATAATGGATCCTCCTCTATCTTAACTACCTTCTATGTCCCATACCATTGACCAACCATTGACTAGTCCTCCTGGCCCATTTTCCCTGTCAGCCATAGTTCTTATCTGTTGATAAAGGCCTGGTAAATCTGTTGACCATTTTTTAATTGATTTCTTCCTATTATTACTATTTCTTATATATTTTCTTTTATATAACCGAGATACTAGTCCTTTATGAAATTGGCCTTGCATGTATTTTTCTTCCTACTTATACCTTAGCTTTTATTATATTATCATTTAAAGAGCAGGATGTTAATTTTAATTAGAACCTAATTTGACCATTCTTTATTATGGAGTGTGCTTTGTGTGTCATATTCAAGAAAACTTTTTCTACCTTAAGGTCACCATATTTTTCTTTTATGTACCTTCCAGAAATCTTAAGAGTTGTAGGTTTTACATTTAATTCTATGCATGTCCCTTTTAAGCTAACAAAAAAGGGGGAGCTTATTGAAATATAACTGACACATAACAAATTAGTTCAGACGCACAACATAATGACTGATGTCTCTATATAATGTGAAAGTTAATTTTTTTAATTATATAATGGTTGAATGTTGTCCCCTGGAAACACTGGTATGGAAAAGAAGTACACAAATCATAGGCACATTGGTCCATGAGATTTTAATCAATGATGCTTCTGGAGCACAAAACAACCCCAGACCAAAAACCAAAACATTCCTAGCAACTCAAAAGATGTCTGACCCACTTCCGTGGAAAGCTTTGAAGGAGAAAGTGGTGAGAAGTCTTTCCCTTCGAGAAATGACTCAGAAATGTGAGTCATTATTTCGTGGCAGACTATCTGCTCTATAAAGTGCCTGGACAGTGTCTGCTGGGAGGTGGGGTGGGACCTAGGTGGTACTCACAGTTACTGGACATGTGGGACTTCTCATGACAGCTGCAGCCCACACAGCAAAAATCCAGTCAAAATCATCTCCACACACAATTAGCAAGTCAGAATGCAAGAAATTCAGAAACTAGGGTGTCAAACTGGATACTGACCTGAGTTTGGATTTGGAGATGGCTTGACTGAAAGAAAGAAAAAGAATATGATTCCCATGAGGAAGCTTTTGCACCCCCCTGCCCACCGCCCTGACCATCATCATTCAGCAGAGAGCCCGGGAAAGCCATGCACAGAAGCCTGCGCTGAGCGCCTGTCCCAGACCCTCCAGGGTTAGCTGGGGTAGGAGCAGAGCAGCAGGCTGGCCAGGTTGAGCACCTTAGGGTGGGAAGTGGGGGAGGGGCGGTGCGGGCCAGGCCAAAGCAGTGATATCAGGGGTTCTTCTTCCCCAAGTGAAGCCAGGGACATGGCCACCTCTCTCAGAGGCACCTCTTGCTGCTACTGAGGCAACAGGAGCACTGGACTAGTAGTCCCCGCTCTGTGTGAGTGGATGGGGTCAGGTGTGCAAGCCAGCACCTCATTTGGAGTTTCAGTGTTGTCATCAGTGAAATGCAAGGGGGAAGATTAACCCATCCCCCACCTACTTCATGATGCCCAATGCCTAGGGGGGCGGGGGCAGCAGGCAGGAGTCAGAGCAAACTGTGAGTATACTGCCCACAGCACGACCTCTTGAGGGACCTTTGCCCCATAGATGGTGGAGCTTCCTTTAAAGTCGGACCTGTCCTTCACAGAGATCAGACCTAAAGGGTTCCAGCAGGATGCAAACAAAGGCTGCATGGGGCTCCCCCAAAGCAGGCGGGATTCCACACATTCCAGACTGCTGAGCCTCCCTCCCCCCCCGCCCCCCCCCCCCCCCCCCAATGGCTGCAGCCCGATCTATCTAGGAAAAAGCAGCCAGTGGCGTGATGGAATGGTGGCCGCCGCAGTGTGCAGGGCTCCGGCTAAAAGTGCGGGGAGGTGAGTGGAGGTGGGCAGGGGTCTCGCCAGCCCACCACAGGGTGCGAGGGTGAGAGACCCTGGGTGGGGGACAGGCAGTGTGGGGCGCAGGGCATGTTGGACAGCGATTCTGCCAGACAAGCTGTTCTTCAAAGCACTGATGCCAACGCCAGACTTGGCCTTTTACCCCCACCGCCGGCACCCCGAGGGCCCAGCCTTGGCCGCGCCTCTTCTCTTCCACCAGCACCTAGTGAACACAGCGGGATGAATGCTGGGTTACCCCGCTCAGCTGCTCGTGGAAAGGGACACAGGAAATGCTGGGAAGGCAGGAGAGTGCTGGGGCAGGAGTCACAAAGGGGTTCTGGATGAGCCCAAGACCCCTCTAATGCCATGGCCTCAAGGTGCCCCGAAACCCAGGGGTGTCTTTTCCACATACGCTTCCCTAGGAAGGGCCAAAGGAACAGGGACCCCGCACTCACCAGAGGTTCCCACAGCAGCCGTGGCTCTCGCCTTCACCACTTACGTTCTCTGTGTTCACAGACTCCGTCTCGCTGGTGGGCATGCTGGCTGTGGGCAGAAGAAACCCCTGTTAGATGCTGCAGAGAGAGAGAGAGAGAGAGAGAGAGAGAGAGAGAGAGAGAGAGAGAACAGAAGGTGCTTCCAGAGACGCTGGCGTGATCCCTACAGGCAGCAGCGAGTAGCTGGCACAGTAACTGCTGTCCCGACACTCCAGGGTTTCTGGGTGCGTCTCCCCCACCTCTCAGCGGAGGCAGAACAGAAGTGGGGGCGACCTGGAAGTGCACCAAGTGCTGGGAACCCCAGGGCACCCCTAGAGTCACCACAGGGCATGCATACACTGGGTTTTTGTCATTCACTTGATTTAATCCTTGAGCCACCCTGAGCTGGGACCCTGGGCACCAAGAGGGACGTTGGCACTTGCTCTGGGGCACCAGCAGGAGAACCAGACTTTGAGAGGAGTATAACTGTAGGAAGAGCTATCTCGGGGGTCTGTGCCAGGGGGACCCGCGGAGTGCGTGTGGGCAAAGAGGAAGGGTTTGCTCTGGGAGGTGAAACTTGGCCCAAACACACATTGAGTCCTGTGGCACAAGTTTGACTCGCCACACCACCTGGTTTTCTAGCCAGATGATGGCAGCAGAATGCTATCCCCCTGTGGGATCTGCCCACTTGGCTCCACCTAGAAGGATGCCCTGAGTTTCGTCTTAGTTGACCATGGTGCCTGCCATGTTGTGGGAGAAGGGCTGGACCCTTTGGGCTCTGTGGGCATCACTGCAAGGCTACAGGCGCTGCTCAGGGGAGAGGCCGGATGCCAATGGCAAGGGGGAGAGGGACCATTCTCAAGGGCTCAGAGATCTTTCCTTTCCGTGAGGATTCTAGAAGCTGAGCCGCCTGGGAGGAGTCTCGGTAGCCACATCCAGAAGCAAACAGGCAGCGGTTTGCAAGGGAAAGGCAGAAAGAGCCAAAGAGCACTACCGACTTCCTCCTAGGAGAGCCTTTTCCGGCGGTTAAGTCATCAGAAATCCACAACAGAATGACTCATTTCTTCACTACCCCATGCAAAAACAAAAAAGAGGCAAATCAGAAACCATACAATTTGATGATGGAAGAAAAATCTTTTAAGTATCCAGAAAAAGATACAACACACCACACAGAAATAGACACACACACACACACACACACAGCAGCCTCTGTACTGTTCTCCATGACAGTTCCATGCTCCAGCCTCAGCAAAAGAATGGAATAGTCATAAAATTCAGTCACCGGGGTCCTCCCGCAAGGCTGCCCTTCTCCTCAGAGATGGGAGAGAAGAGCTCAGTAGGACAGTCTTTATCACAGGAACAGAAATACTTTTTTTTTTGTTTGGCTTTTTGGGTCACACCCGGCGATGCACAGGGGTTAACTCCTGGCTCTGCACTCAGGAATTACTCCTGGCGGTGCTCAGGGAACCATATGGGATGCTGGGAATCGAACCCGGGTCGGCCGCGTGCAAGGCAAATGCCCTACCCGCTGTGCTATCAAGCCAGCCCCAAGAATACTTTTTGTGGAGCTTTTTTTTGGGGGGGGGGTGGCTCTTCCTGCAGAGGGGCTTGGAAAGTGAGCATGGCATGACCTGCGAGGTGCAGCCCTGTCGTGGTAAAGGCGTCAGCTCTCTTCTCACGCCAGTACCCTGTCTGTGCTGGTGGCGCCAACCTCCCAATCCGGTGGGTAACTCCCCTCACGCACAGTTTAGCCCTTTATGCTTCTCACATTTCATTCTACATCACTGAAGAGCAAACCAGCTTCATCTTTGAGGCTGTGACTCTCAAGGCCATGTTCCGTATGGATATTCATGCCATTGTCACATTCCATTCCTAAAACTTCAATTTTTTGTGTATGTGTGTATGTGTGTGGGGAGGGAGGAGAGTGGAACCACAATATGGCACTGCTCAATGCTTACTCCTGGCTCTGCAATGAGCAATCACTTCTGACGAGGCTCAGGGGACCATATGGGGTAGCAGAGATTAAACTCTGGTGGGTCACGTACAAGGCGAGAGCCCTCCCTTCTGAACTATGTCTCCAGCCCCTCTTTTTTTTAAAATTTCTTAGACATACTCAGCAGTGCTTCAGGATTATGCCTGCCTCTGTGCTCAGGGATTACTCCTGGAGGTTCTCAGGGGACCACAGGTAGTGCTGGGGATTGAACGTGCTGTATTCCAGCTGTATATAAGACAAACACCTTAGTCCTTGTACTATCTCTCCAGGTCCTAAAACTTTATTTGCCAAGCAATCTAATCAAAGCAGGTAAGTTAGAGACTGGGGGTGAAGGGCCCACCATCAGTCCTCACTCCTGATGCTATGCTAGCTATCAGTGAGTGAATGGCAAAGGGGCGGGGGGCGGGGGGAAGGTAAGAAATCCAGCCGAATTCCCCCAAGAACAAGGGTAGTCATGTGCCTGGAGTCAGAATGCATGGGGGGGTGGGGAGGTATCTCCCTGCTTCCCACACTGCCTTTGTCCTTTGGGTGGATATGACCATGGAGAAGGACCTGAGCTGCTTCTCCAAGACTCCACTTTCCCCTCTGCAAAATGGGGAGACTCTACCTCATAGAGCTGTGGGCAGAATTCAAGGGGATGCAATACATAGCAGCTCAGCCCAGAGAGGGGCCCTCGGGCTGGGCAATCAGTGATACACAGAAGTGGGGGACCACCTTCTCCCCTCGCTCCTGCAGCAAAGTGACAGGCCCTGTGTGGTACAGACACAGTGTCGCTGCCTTTGAGCTCTCAGGGCACTGCAAATACGTGTGAATCAACTGCCTGGCTTTGAATTTGCTCTGCCCAACGCCTGGTCCCCATTTTCTCTGCCCCACACTGCTGACTTCTAACTGATTCTGTTGTAAGAATCATGACATTGACCTATAGAGTCTTGGGCCCTAACAAAACAAACTATTCCCAAACACTGGGCCGGCAGAGGGCAGGGAATCAGGGACCCCATTTGGTCCCAGAGACGAACCAGAGCCTAGATCCCAGCAGCCACTGGTCTGTCTGCCTCAACCTCTCCCTCCATCCACAGTGTGGCCCTTCCTTCAGGACACAACCAGCTCTGTGGGCACAACCCAACTGTCTGTGCCTCAAACTATGTTGCCTTGGGGCTGGAGACAGAGTACAGTGAGTGTTTGTAAAGCCTATGAGGGAACTTGCTTTGCATGCAGATAATCCGAGCTTGATCCTTGGCACCCCATAGGGACCCCTGAGCCCAGTCAGGAGTGATCCCTGAGCTCAGAGCCAGAAGTAAGTCCTGAATGTGGCCCCCAAATCAATGCATAAACAAATAGAAACATCCCAACCTTCATTTACCCGAGACACTTGGTTTTTGACTTGGTATTGGTTCCATTTCACCCCAGGAGGTTTCATTTAAAGCTTAAGGAAGGAGACTCAGTTAGAATAGGAAGGGACTTGTGGCTTACAGGAATGACTCATAGCTGAGAGTCTGAAACGGCACACAGAAAGCCCCTCTGCTCTCCGCTCAGTGCTCACCCCAGCTGTGACCACGCAGCAGGGTCTGAGATCTCCAGGGTCACGATTCTGCTCTCGGCAGATGTCCACCCTTAGATTGGCATATTCTTAAAATTCTACAAGTCCCCAAAGCCAAATAAATCTGCTCTCCATCAGCCTGGAGTTGCTGACCTAGTGACCTTGAGTAACCCCTTGAAACCAGGCAGAGCCAACGACTCACAGGCCATCAGCCCAGCATGGGGTGTGTAGCTGGGGGCAGGTGCTGAAAACATCAAGTTGCTAAGGTGACCAGTGGGACTTGAGAGAAATTCAAACAATTATGCAAACCCAAGACCCATGCTCATCCCTCCTGGCAGCCGGAGCTCCAGAACACCATGCAGGAAGCCGTAGCCCCTCCTGCCATGGGCTTGGGTGTGACCTGAGGTCAGTAGGTCGAGGGGTGCAAGCAGAGACCTCACAGGGCCCCACACTTACAGGCATCAGTCCCCTGATCAATAAGCCAGCATGGGGGGGGCTGGAGCTATAGTACAGCAAGGAGGGCGTTTGCCTTGCATGTGGCCGACCCGTGTTTGATTCCCAGCATCCCATATGGTCTCCCAAGCAGTGCCAGAAGTAATTCCTAAGTGCAGAGCCAGAAACAACCCCTCTGCATTGCCGGGTGTGACTCCTCCAAAAAAAGCAAAAAAATAAAAATAAAAAATAAACCAGGGTGTCGTCTCATGGGAGAACCTGGAAGCCCTTTTCCCTGACGTGGTCCAATAAATTCTAGTTTTGTTGAGAGAGATGTTTGATTATTATTATTATTATTATTATTATTATTATTATTATTTAAATGAAATGCTTTAAACTTTGCCAGTGAGTCTGGGTGAGTGCAGGCATGAGGCAAGTCTGCAACCTAACTTGCGTCTGCAACCTAACTTGCCTGGCTGAGGGCGGCTGAGGCCATGCCTGCTGTTCTAGGTCTCGGGGACTCAGGGGAGCACTTCAGGGAGGAGTCTGAGGTTTAGCGCATAGGCACCTGGAGAAGGGGCTGCCAGGCCCTCCTCTGGTACTCAGGCCCAGCCGAGACACTCTCTGTGGACAAACACTAGCAGCATTTTCCCTTCAGATGCTGCCTTCCTGTATAATGCCCCAGAAAATCAACCCAGAAAAAGTTTCCTGTGCAGCACGACAATTAGCATTTTCATAAACAGGTAGTAAAAACACTGTCCTATCTACTTCCCGTCTCCGTCTCTCTTTCATGGACGCTGAGGGATTCTGGAGATGTCAGAAGCTTGGTCTCTGTCACCAGCACACAGGCATTGATTTTACCCTTAACCTCTCTCCTGAGCTGCAGCCAACACCAGGCCCTTTGACCTCTGACCTGCAAGAGCTGCCGTCCAGAGGAAGCAGCCACAGGCCACTTGGCGCTACCCCCAGCACTGGGTTCACCAGGAGGGCCCTGCCCTGCCCCTCCCTCCCCCCCCCCAGGAGGGCCAGCAGGAGGTGAGCTACCCAGTCCAGGGAGCACGCCCGGCTGAGGCCCCAGCCTTGCAGAGAGCAGAGCTTGCCACCTCCC